TTATATTAGCCAAGATTAAAATGAAGGAGAGAATCCTAGAAGCAGCAAGAGCTAAGGGGACAGTCACCTACAAAGGAGTTCCCATCAGACTGTCAGCAGATTTCTCAAAAGAGACCTTACAGGCAAGATGGGGCTGGAAAGAAGTATTCCAGCTCATGAAATCCAAAGACCTACATCCAAGATTGCTTTATCCAGCAAAGCTTTCCTTTAGAATGGAAGAGCAGATAAAGTGCATCTCAGATAAGGTCAAATTCAAGGAGTTCATCATCAGCAAGTCCTTATTATATGAAATGTTAAAGGGACTTATCTAAGAAAAAGATAAAAAAGATGAACAGTGAAAGGACAACAAACTCACAGTTATTAAGAACCACACCTGAAACAAAAGCAAACTAAGAGGACAGCTAGATCAGGAGCGGACCACAGAAATGAAGATCACATGGAGGGTTAGCAACAGGGGAGTGGGAGAAGGAGGGAGAAGGTACAGAGAATAAGTAGCATAGATGGTAGGTACAAAATAGACAGGGGGGAGGGCAAGAATAGTAGGGGAAATATAGAATCTAAAGAACTTGTGACACGTGGACATAAACTAAAGGGGGGAATGGTGGGAGAGGGGGTGTGCAGGGTGGAGGGGAATGAAGGGGGAGGGAAGTAGGACAACTGTAATGGCATAATCAATAAAATATATTAAAAAGAAAAGAAAAAAGATAATTTTGGACTTGAAAAAAGTGATTTAAAAAATAAAGCAGGGTAATTTAGTAGGAAAAATAAAAAAGAAAATTGGGGCATTATATGAACCAGTTGCTGTTTAGGTTTGCAGATACAACCGGTCCCTGCTAAAGAAGAATATCACAGAACATATGTAAAAATATTGTTTAAGTTTCTGCTTTCTCATTTCAGTTACAGCAAATGATATCCTGCCCGGGGCTTTGGACCTGCAAATCATCAGGTCAAGTAACAAAGGGACTTCTGGATGGGTAAGAAGTATTTGCCCCCCCCCCCCAAAAAAAAAAAACAGTAAACCTGTTTAGAAGAAATATAATAAAGCTGGAACCTAAAAACATTTCACAGAACAAAATCCTGGTGTCTATTTAGCAATCATGAAACTCTTTTTGCAGGCTCTTTTTAGATGACTTGGAGACATCTGTTTAGTCTAATTCTTGTGGAACAGTTGATAATCGTCACAGACCTCAGACTAGCAATTCGTCTTGGCCAACAGTTTTTGGGTCAATCCTCTATTTAGAGAATGGGTAACATTCATTTCACTTTATCAGTCACAAGAGACTTAGAATTATCTTCTCTATTCTCTTTACACATAGAGGTAAATAAAGTGACAACTCTAGCATATTCTTTCTCCTAAACGCCACGTATGGGGGACAAACCAAATTTAAGGTAAAGGTGGTTCTAAAATTTGCAGGTGGAAGCTAACTCTGGTGCTGAAGGCTCCAACTGTAACGAGCCAGATGCAGGTGGAAGCCGACAGCTAATTTACCTGTTATGATCAAAAAGCCATGGGCGGCAGGACAAAAAGAACCCCGCTCTCAGCTGCCTGGAGAGGGACTGCCGGCCTTTGGTCCAGCACCAGCGCCCGTGGCCAGACTGAACACAGGGAAGGACGCCATTTCTCTCTTTTTTCCTAAAGGCCCATTCTTTCTCATAAAGGATCGACCACACCTGACATGGAAGAGAGATATGGATGCAGAAAGAGGCCTGAAAATTCTCCTGTAGTCAACTCCTGGTTTTCATTGATCTCAGTGCACACCAAGTTGCCCCAAGGTCAAAGGAGGAATAAGAAATATGCCTGCCTTGAGAATGCAGCTACTTTGCCTTTTAAAGTACACGTTAGTCAAAGCACACTAGACCTTGAACTTCATGTATCATGACTCACAGCATGAAATCTGTTTTACGTCAGAACCAGGCAGGCACGACGTACATTCAGGCTAAAATAAAAGTTTCGTCAAAGTGTCCCCCTCTTTTTGAATGCTGGCTGCACACCACAAACTGACGTCACAAAGGAGTGATGGCTTCCGATCTGCAGTCTGAGCAAGACCTCTGCAGGGCACCACGTGGTCTGGCCTGGGCCGCCTCTCTGGTCCCACCTCAGGCTCTCCTCTGCCCAGCTTCCCACTGCTGCTGGCACCCAATGTCCATTCATTTCTACACTATTCGTATGCCAGTTCCTGAAGCGGGCTGCCTTGGGCCTTTGCTCGTGCTGTTAGTGCTGCCCGGAGCCTCCCCCAGGCCCTTGCACTCCACCACGGAGACCTTCGCTGACCACCCAATCTTAAGGAGCTACACATACAACTCTGGCCAAGGTAGAGGGTAGAGTTCATTGCTCTTTGGGATGTTGGGAGGTCTGAATGACAAAAAGTAAGGCAGGCACACACACACGCACACACATACAAACAGTACTCTGCACATGTCACTTTCCACCTCCCCATGCCATTGCACAGGTCACTGACTTGTAGCAATCACAATCAGATTCCACTCGCTTTGGGGTGGCTTTTCTGACTCTGAAAAGTGAGTCGGGTCATGCTCCACCATCCCCCAAGCACTCTGCACCCTCTCAGAGCACTGACATCCTTTCTTACTACTTTGATTCATTCAGCAAGTATCTGAGTGCCTGCAATGGTCCAAGCAATGGCAGTGAACAAAATGAGGATCCATCCCTCTAGCAGTTCTCAGTTCAGTGAGGGTGGCAAATCCACACACAAATAAGTTCAAGTGCACATGGTAAATACAACAACAGGGATGTGTAGAATGTAAGGTGGTAACAAAAAAGAATGAAGTATCAATTTTCTTCAAGCAGATAAGAAAGGCATCACAAGAGAAGAGACACCTCAACAGGGTCTGGGAACATCAAGAGTCTGGCAGGCAAAAAAGAGGGGAGCATGTTCTGGGTGCAGGAATCATACGTGCAAAGGAGAGGGAACAAGCTTATCACCAGCCTGAAGTGACTTGGTACGTTCAATGAAAGACAAGTACTAGCTCGAAAGCGAGGTGCTAAGAGGAACATGTAGGGAAGGGAGGAGCATTGAGAGGAGGCTGAAGGGTAAGTGCTAGGTCCTGGAGGCCCCGAATGCTGGTCCGGAGACCCTGCATTTTGTACAAAAGGAAATGGGGAGCCTAGAGTTTCACAGAGGTGAGTAAGAGCAACAGGTTTCAGTTCCAGAAAATTCCTTCTCATAGTAGAGAAAATAGTGGTTTGGGGAATTGTTGGACCAGACTGTTAAAGACACTATTGCAATAGTCCAGGCAAGAAAGGAGACCTTAAAGGAAACAGGATTTACGAACCAATTGGATATTGGAGGCTGGAGAGACATGAATGCAGGATAACCCGGTCGCTGGTTTAGCTTATAATATAGTGGTGTCATTCATTAACGTGGGGCAATAAGAGAGAACAGGTAGAAATACAGCGAGTTCCATTTGGGTCCTATTGAGTTTGAGGGGCCTCTGTGGTAACCAGGTAGAGACAGATGCCCAGGAAAGTAGGTGCCAGGTCTCAGAGGAAAACTGAAATTGAGGGCCAAAAGCTTAGGCACTAGGAGAAGTCTGTGTACTTGAAATCACCCAAGGAAAATGTATAGACTAGAAGGTGAAATTAATTAAGGAACCAGATAGCATGTACAAAGCAGGCAAACCCAGGGGAGGCGCAAGGGATGCCCTTGAGTTTCAATTGTCACAGAGAGCCTGAATAAATTCTGAGAATTACTGAATCTGGCACTTAAAAGGCCATTAGAAACTTCAGCAAGCGGACCTTCCCTGAAGCCATTAGAGAAGAGGTCAGACAACAGAATATTGAGGATGAAAGTGAAGAGGCAGAAGTTGAAGCGAGTGAAAACACTATGCTTTCTAGCGATTTACTGGTAGGTAGGTGGAAGAACTGCGGAGAAACACAAGATGGAGCATGTGTTTTTGTTTATTTCATTTCCTTAAGATGTGTATGATTTTAACAGCGAGAAGAGGAAAGCGGAGAGAGAAAAAGGCCAAAATCACACACGAAAAGAGAAAAGCAAAAAGTACTGTCATGAATGGCAAGGAGTGAGACCTGAGGAAATAATGGGTGTGTCACCCTTCGGCACCTCTTTCTCCAAACTAGAAACACAACACTGAACGGAGGATAAAACTGTAGATCAATGTGTAGGCTGGGGGCAGGAGGTTGAAGAAACTGACTCTTAGACTCTGTCATCTGCTTAGAATAGAGGGAGGAGGAGGGGCAGGGTTTGCAAAGTGAAGGCTTGAATAGGACTCTGGGGGAAAGGCAGGCTGGATAACAAAAAACAAGAAAGAGGGGGTGCTGAGTGGGGCTTTGTTGCTAAATTCATAGCTATACCCACCCGCCAACAGTTAACTATCTATTCTACGGCCCGTTATTCACAAATGTTTAAAATTTTGCTAATTATGTGAATTATGTAGAACCCTGTTCTCAAACAGGTGAGTGAATTGAAATCACCTGCAAGCCTTTAAAAATGCAAATCCCCAGCCCTATTCCAATTAACTCAGAATTTCTGGGGCCATAGCTCAAGCAAATGAATTTTCCAGAAGCTCTCCAAGTTACCTAGATGGGGCATTCCTGTTTAAAAAAAAAAAAAAAAAAGTACGGACCCAGAAGGAATCACCTGGCTTCTACTAGGTGGCCCTCAGACGGGGTGTGGAACAGAGCTCCGCCACCCAGGGTAGCAAAGACTAAAATCCAGGGAGACCCACAGCCGGGCTGAAACAGTCATGTACCCGCCACTACACACTCTTAAATGAAGCACGCTAAGGTGAAGCTGAGCTTGAAAACGCAACCATTTAAAAAGTTTGTTCGGAATGATGTTTCACCTCCGGCTATTACACTCAGTGTTTTACCCCAAAACTTTCCGTTACATTACTCTAAGGGCTCAGCAGCACTAAAGAGACAATAGGGCGAAGGTGCAAGGCCCGGGCACGTCCCGAGTGCCCATTAGACCCAGGACTGGGGACGCTGCGACACCAGGACCCTGGAGCCGTCTGGCACTCACCATAGTCTCAGGAGCTAAGCAGAGGGAAAGAGGTCTCGCGCAGACGGAGAGGACGCCAGCACCAACACTGAAGCCCGGTTACTCCAGCAACAGAGCCCCGCCTACTACTGCACGTTGCACGGAAGTCACTGCCCCGATCCCTTGTCTCTATTGGCTGGAAGTAATCAAAGCTCCGCCCATCACGTCGACAGACACGCCCCTTAACGCCAGCGCACTGGGCGAACGGAACCTAGCTTAGCTCTTTCCAGCGTCATCACTTCCGTTTGGTTGACAGGTGACCCGGAAGTTCAAGCCACCCTCCGGTTACTAGAGTCCGAATATTCTATAATGTATTTTTAAGTAGGCATCTGTCCAGTTTTCAGTCACTGAAGCCTTACACCGTATAGCCTGTGTTGCTTGAATTTAAACGCACTAAGAGTGCATTTACCTGTTTCTCTTGGAAACGTGTTCCGGAAACGAAACCCTGACTGATTAATCGGAAGTGACTAGTAAAGAGCGAGAAGTTGCTGTCAGGACGACCTGGGCGGGGCAGGTCGGCTCGGGATGGAAAGAGACTGTGCGGAGAAGTCAGCCCGGTGATTTTGAGCCGGAGAACCGGGACGGGGCAGCCCTCTGGACTAGGAAAAGTGAGGATCTTACAGGTAAATCCAAGAACCTGCTGGTGGAACCAGGGGGTACCGACAGCGGCGGAGGTGTAGGTGGGAGTTCGGTGTCCACGCCTTTGAATCCAGGGCTTGTTCAGACAGGGTTAGAACTTCGAATACGACTTCCCAGGGCGGCAGAAGTTGACCGGCGTGTTGCTTCCTCACCTGCCTCCTGTTACCCACTCACTTCACTCCTACCGCCGTCCCTTTCACCCCGTATTTGCCGGCAGACCCCCCCGCGATGTTTGTCCATTTCGCCCGCATCTCCCCAGCGCGGTTTCAGGGATCACTGCTCGATCGAAGGGACTTTGGAGACCCGCTTTAAGGGCAATGTAAATGACCTATGCGGAGATGCAGCAGGGTTGGGATTGACCGTGGGAACGGGGGGCGGGGCAGGGGAGAGCAACGGGGGAGAATTCGGACTACTGTAACAGAACGACAATAACAAATTTTTTTAAATTAAAAGAAATTTTAAAAGGAGGATTTGTGACTGTTGAGGACAGTCGTCTTGGAAGACCCAGGGCCAGGCTATGGCGAGTACTCAGAGCGATTATTTCTGTGGAGAACCCGGTTGTCATCTAGTGTATAGTTCATTTATTAACATGGCAATAGCATCACCTTTCTTCTCGTCCCGGGAATCTTTGTCCTGTAAGGCCATGCATACATTTTTGAGAGCATATGCTATGCCAAAATTGTAATCTTATTGTCAAGAAAATGCAAGATGAGTCATCCTGAATGTTGTTATTGTTAGACATCGAAACAGAAGCTCGCTCCTCTCTGATTACACAGGGAATAAATTAGTGTCAGTCATGTCTCCCGAGAAAGTAATTACCGTAATTACTTTAAAATTCCTGTTGTCATATGAATAATGCAGAAGCCACCAAGGTAGCGTAAGTGGTATTTCCGAACTAAAATTCCAGACACACCTCCGATGATTTAGAGTTACAGCTGAGGGCAGGGAAGCAGAAATGCCACCCCTGATTCTTTGTGAGACATTGGGCAGGTGTAACAATATCACCTGTCAAAGGATATGGAACACTGTCTTTCTAAATTCATGTTACTAAATTCAGAAGCAAGTAGAATTTCATATTTAAATTAGAGGGATTTACTGAATGTGTTTATACAGTATGGTTTTAATTCTTTCATTTTATACTTTTTTTAGGTTTTGCGGTAGAAGTCTTGGGGTGCATTTTTGTTAGTTAAAAAAAATGACTACTCTTGAGAGTTTAGAAACTAAAGGTAAGTCTTCTTGTTTTAGTGATCATTGTTTTTAGAACATGGCTTTTATGACGATAGGACGGAGGAATGTTTGAGCCAGCTGAGTAAGTCTCATGGAGCCCTCGGGAATCACCTGGGTTTCAGATCTCATGTTTGCTTTGTACTACAGTATTTACATGTCAGTACTTCAAGTGTACAGTTGAATGTTAACGGCCTTCTGGAGTATTTATTAGGTGACAACTACTATTAAAAGCAGAGTTTTACAGCCGTGTCTTCTCTCCACTGCAAGGTTAGGGGCAAACACGGAGTAGGTGTACAAGATCTCTCCCTTGTTTTATTGGTTTGCTAGGGCTGCTGTAAGAAAGTACCACAAGCTGGTGGCATAAACTATATAGAAATTTATTGTCTCGCAGTTCTGAGGCTAGGAGTCCCAGTCTGTCCGGGACTCCTTGTCCATGTTGGCAGGGCCTTGCTTCCTGAGCAACTGGCACCGGGGAAGGATCTGTTCCAAGCTTGTCTCCTAGTTGCTGGTGGTTTGCTGGCAATTTTTGGTATTCCTTGGCCTGATCACCCTGATATCTTACTTTACCTTCCCATGGCATTTTCCCTGCATGTTTCTGTGCCCAAATGTTTCCTTTTTATAAGGACATCAGTCATATTGGAGTAGGGTCCCATCCTACTCCAATATGATCTCAACTAATTACATCTGCAGTGACCCTGGTTGCAAATAAGGTCGCATTCCGAGGTACGGAGAGTCAGACTCCCACACGTGAATACTTGGGGAGACAGGATGCAAGTCATAGCACTTGCTAGTTGCAGGAGTGATGTTTCAGTCCCGCCCTGCTTGCTCTCTCGGCAACGCTGCCTGCCGTTTGTCATTCCCACATTTTGAAATACTTTCTGTCCTTGACTTGCACGACATCTCTCTTAGTTTCCCCCTTCTCTGTAGCCCTTCACTGTCCAATGCACTAACAACTGTAGCTATTCGAGTTTAAGTTAATATTTGTAAAAGTTAAAAATTTAGTTTCTCAGGCACACTAGCCACATTACAGGTTCTCAGGAGCCATAGGTGGCTGGTGGTGGTCGTGTCAGAAAGTGCAGATTTAGGGCATTTCCATCATTGCAGGAAGTTCCGTGGGACATCGCGGCTCTAGCCATTCTCTGTTTCTGTCTTACCCTCTTTTTCTGGTTTATCTTTTAATTATTTAATTAATTAATTACTTAAAAAATTTTGTTCCCATCTTTTGTTTTGTTTTTTAAGATTTTTTTTGTTTATCTTCAGAGGGGAAGGTAAGGAGAGAGGGAGAGAAGTATCAATGTATAATTGCCTCTCCTGCGTCCCCCGCTGGGAACTGGCCTGCAACCCAGGCTTGTGCCCTGACTGGGAGTTGAACCATGATCCTTTGGTTCACAGGTCTGTACTCAATCTGCTGAGGTACAGTGGCCAGGGCTCTGGTTTATCTTTTAAATGTTGCTTCCTCAGGGGCTTTCTCCTCTAGTCTCAAGGCTTCAGTAATTATCTCTAAGAATGACTTCCAAGTCTATCTTCAGCTCTGACCTCTTCCCTTGTGATTCAGACCCTTATAGCACACTGCCTACTGCCTATTTTCACTTAAATATCAGTAACAGTCTTACCAAGTCCAAGGTGAATTCCTCCCGATGCAGGTTGTTCTTGAGTGGAGTGAGTTCTGGAGGGAGGGGCTTTCAGTGTGAGATGGGAAACCGTTTTCTGGACGCCAACTTCGTAGCAAGCTGACCTCGATAGCAAACTGCTTAAAGGGGGTTTAAATATGTTTAGGAAGCAAGGGAGAGAAGATCATGCCACTGAATATTGAATGAAATTAATTCAGTTGCATGCAACAGTGTTTCAGAGCCACGTTTTATATTATTAGCATAAGCATATCAGAGACTACAATGAAGGTAATACTGGGGATTAATGGGAAATAAGATCAATTAATTGGTAACTTATGTGAGAGCAACTGCCATGGAGCTTGTAAAAAACAGAAACCAAATACGGTGTTATCATACGCAAGGCCTTGTGAAACTAAATTATTTTCATTGTTATTGCTTGTTTGAGATAAGGACCAGAGTTTTGAAGCACTTTCACACACATCATCTCATTTGATTTTAATTTTACAGTATGCTAGGTAATTCAGTGTTCGTCCTGTTCCTACTGGATTTACGTTAACTGGTGTTAATTAACAAAAGGTACTGTAATTGCAGAGCCTGAGAAAAAATGCACTTGTCACTTTTTGTTGTGACAAGTTTGTCAGCTGTCTGCACTTCTTCTGACACCTCCAAAGAGCAGCAGGTTCGGTGTATGGTGCCAGAACTCCCCACGGAAGTTTGAGCGATACCGTCAAGAGAAGGGCGTGTCCTTGGGCCAGGGCTGTTTCTGAAAGGGGGACATGCGATAAATAGGAGCAATCTGAAGATTGGAATCTGAATCCAAAACTTTCTTGAGGGAATGAGATTAAAATTTAAACTAAAGGCACTGAGGTCAGACAGTTTAGTGACAGTGAAACCCAAATAAGAAAGTCGGAGGCATTTCAACACTGACATTTCTCTAACACCACGTTCCTCCCACGGGTACCCCGAGGGCATCCTGCCCACTCTGAATGTGCTCGGCAGACTTAGTGGGGCAGTGAGGTCAGCACGCACAAAACCCTTACGGCGACCACTGTGCTTCATGATTAAGTTTCGAGCTGAATGTCGGAGACAGTAAGTGCCGTAGGCCTCTTCAGAGAATGGGCCGGAGCAATGGGAGGACTTCATGCAACGGGTGGAGTAGCAGCCAGCTTCGTAGGGATGTCCAGGGACCACAGCCAGTGGCCAAGAAGCCGTTGGAGAGAAGCCACAGCAGGAATTGGGGCCTCGGAGAGAGAGAGTACTCAGTAACCCAGCTGGGAGGTCTGTGCAGAGCATTCTTTGCCAAGAGTTCAGAAAAACAGATAAATGGGTCTTGAAGTAGACGGTTTCAGATGTGCGTGTATGAAGCTGACATTCGTTGTTCACGGTTCTCCAGTGTCATGTGTCCTTGGAGAGCCAGGCTCTTGGTCTCCGTGTTCTTTCCTGCCACCACCCTCTGGCGCAGTTGCTAGTGTGTTCATTTTGCAGGCGAGGAAACTGAGATTTGTGGGCAGTTAAATTGCCTGCCTAGCGTCACACTAGGTTGTGGAAGTCAGAACCGAGTGCCCGGATTCCAAATCCCCTGCATCTTCACCCAGAGAGAAACCACTTGCGTAAGGGAAGCCTGAGCCTGCAGGGTGCTGCTCATCTTTTCTGGGCACGTGGCTGTTTTGACAATTACTTTTTACTTTGAATTTTTTCATTCTTCCGAATGTCAGTAATTCTGAGTGTAGGGTGAGGTGTGTCGTGGTCTTTTCCTGGTACTGCCTTTCGGTAAGTCGTCTCCGTATTGGTTTCCCGTTTTCAGTCACCCTGGCTTCTGCCCCAGTCCGAGGAGCGGGAGATGGAATGGAAACTGAGGAGCCCCCTCACTCTGTGGAGGTCCCCACCGGAGCCCCACCGGCGCAACCACCCACCCTCCGGAGTCCACGGAAGAAAGCGGCCGAGAGCCCAGGAGTCCTTCAGCTGGGCGAGGTGCGCAGCGACAAGGCGGTGGAGGTGGAGGCTGTGAGAATAGTGGTCCCCAGGGCCGCCATCACCCACGCCGTGCCCCGCGGCAGCACCAAGGCCCAGTCCCTGGGGCGTCAGAAGGGGGAGCGCCTGGGCCGGTCGGAGGGGGCCGCAGAGCCCGGTGAGGGGCTCGCAGAGCTGAAGAAGCTCAAGAACTCGGAGCGGAGGCTGCTGCAGGACAAGGAAGGCCTCTCCAACCAGCTGCGGGTGCAGACGGAGGTAAGGCCAGCCCTGCCCCGGGCCTTGGTGAGGGCCCTGACGCGCCCCTGCTCAGCCTGCAGCCTCCTCCTCCCGGAGAGTAGATGTCGCTTGCTGTGGCTGATCACCTCTCATGGTGGCTTCCTCTCAAATGCCACGTTCTCGCTCTGGGCCACCAGTAGAGCTAGTGTGTGTTGGGAACTTACACACTTTGAACCACGCTGAAGATAGGGCTGTGGGAGCTTTGGGCCGGAGGCCTGTAAGCTGTGAAGCGGGTTCCAACTCCAGCCGAGGACTGGCCGAGTCAGGCTTTGGACCGCCTGGCGCGCAAACCCTGTTCTAAGCAGCCACAAATCTCTAGTGTTTTTGCCCATGCACACTCAAGGCTCCGACTAAAGAGAATGGTGGGGTCAGTCCTGGGGTCCTCAGTGTCAGCGGAAGGTGATCTGCAATCTTCGCATCTCGGCCAGCGGTGCCCTGGCCTCCACCTTCCTCCCCTGTGAGACCGCGGCGTGTCTCACAGATGCCAGTCCCTGTAATGCTGCAGTTAGTGGGCCTTTCCCAAATACGTCGCGGTGCGTTTTTAACACATCACTAGTTCTAAAGTTAGAATTTGTAAACTGCTCGGAAAACAGAGAGAAACCGTGAAGACAGCACCGCCTAAGTTACCAATGTGTTCTTACGCGGCACAGTCTGTTGCCGGTGTTCTTACGTCGCGGCAAAGTCTGTTGTCAGTGTTCCTACGTCGCGGCACAGTCTGTTGTCAGTGTGTTCTTACGTCGCACATTGCGGCACAGTCTGTTGTCAGTGTTCTTACGTCGCGGCACAGTATTGTCAGTGTGTTCTTACGTCGCGGCACAGTCTGTTGTCAGTGTTCTTACGTCGCGGCACAGTCTGTTGTCAGTGTTCTTACGTCGCGGCACAGTCTGTTGCCCGCGGCACAGTCTGTTTTTCGGTGGCCGCCGCAGACCGGTGCCTGCTGTTGGGCGTTTGGGTTGTAACGTTTGCACTTTAGCAACAACAGGAAGAGGGCGCTTGTGGAGAGTCCTGAACTGCTTCCTCTGCTTCCTTTTAAAAGGAAAAATCCCAGGGCACAAAGAAATTATTTTTTAAATGTTGATTAAAGTTCAAAAACCACCTGAAACATTCAGTCATATTTTTAACAAAGCTTGTTTAGTTTTCTGATTTTTCTTCTTTAGGTGCTGACCAAAGCAGTTTGTTATTTCTATGATAATAATTTGTGCTCTTATTATAAGAGGCTCAGTTTATAACCACTTGGACTATAAGTATAGATACAAAAAGCAGAGGAAGCTATGGTTAATATATGTCTATTACAAAACTTAAATATTGACTGTCACCATTGGATCAATATTTTGTCCACTCTGCGACATTATAGTCACTGACGTTACCTTGCTTGTTACATTGGTCATGCGCCCTTCCAGGTCAATCGAGAGCTAAAAAAGCTGCTGGTGGCCTCTGTTGGGGATGACCTTCAGTACCACTTTGAACGTCTGGCCCGGGAGAAAAACCAGCTCCTTTTGGAGAACGAAGCCCTGGGTCGGAACGCGGCCCGGCTGGCCGAACAGCTGGAGCGCATGTCCATACAGTGCGATGTGTGGCGGAGCAAGTTCCTCGCGAGCAGGTATTTCCTGTTTCCAACAGTATTTCCGTTGCTAGTGTTTGATCTACTGACTTTTGACCTGTAATGCAAGAAGTCGACCGTGGTGTGAAAAATTTTGAGTTGGTTGTTGAAGTGCTGCGTGTGTTAAGCTGTGGACTCTTGCTCCCGTGGATGGGAACGCGGCCTCCCTAAATGGGGAGCGACGTCATGCGGGACCCCCCCCCCAGAATTCTAGGTCACTGCCCTGTAGGAGAAATCACCCCCACTGCGGTGTTTAATGACCAACAAAACGGTGGACTCAGACATCTAGTAAATGTACAAATCACAAAAAGCAGACTACGTTATTTTTCTGGAGAACTCAGGTCTCATCGCCACTCTGTAAGGTAACATTATTCGTCCTCCACTCCCTGTTCTCGTCGGACTTACCCGCATAACAGAGGCGCCCAGCCTTCCTCCCACGCGAGGAGGGAGAGGGGGACATCTGTGTGGCACACGGGGTGGGGCTGCCCCCCGGGGCTGTGCACAACCGGGACCCTCGGCTGGAAGTTGCGGCTCTTTGTGTGCGTGCCCGCCCCCTTCCGACGACGCCCTGCTGCTGGGGAACGGTCCTGGGCGTCACCCCGCCGCGCTCCGCACGCAGCCCACCCGCTGACTGAAGTGCCACCCTCTGGTGGTCTCTCACCAAACCCCGGAGGCCCCCAGGCTGTGCTGTAAGAACCACTGGTTGTCGGGAATAGATTTCTGGGAAAGCGTTTCTGCGTGTCTTAATGTCTGCTATAGTTTTTAGTAGTTGACTGCTCTCTGAAAGTCCGTAATTTGATTCCTAACTACACTAGTATAGGATGCTGTTTGGAGAAATGAACTTTTGTCTTTGAGTGAAAGTTAATTAGTTCTCTTTGAACAGTTTAAGAGGCATACTGTAACACGTAACCTTTTTTTAATATCCTGATCAAAACTGACTGTGGCGCAGTAAGGCCAGTAAGAATCCCACTATGTGCTAATATGAGAAACTCGCCAGGATAAGCTAGTAAGTGAAAAAAGCAAAGTACAGAAAAGTTTGTACAAAATAATCCTCTTTCTGTAAATAGAAAGAATACATTTATTTCTAACATACTTTTTATGTTGAATATGCATAATTTTTTCTGGAAAAATGTATAAGAAACTATTGGTTACATATAAAAGAAGGATGGGGTGCTGGGCAGGAGGGAAGACTTCGTTTCCCTTTTAGAGAAGCCTTTCTACTTTATTTTAATATTTTCCAAAGGCAAAGAGGTAAGTAGGATGGTAGGAAAATAATGCATTTTTGTTTTCCTTTAAAATGTTTTTTACTTAAAATATTTGGTTAATGTAATATTTTTTCAAAATTTGATCAATCTGGAGTAATACTGAGGTACATCCTGAAAGTCACTATAATAAGAAAAGTCCATTTCCTTTGTCATTTTGTAAATGTTTTAATTGAATCCCTTCAGTGAGTTCTCAGCTTGTAGACATTTTAAATACTTTTTTTTTAAAGAGTTTATTTATTTATCTTTAGAGGGGAAGGGAATGAGAGAGGGAGAGAAACATCAATGTATGGTTGCCTTTTGTGCGTCCCCTGCTGGGAACTGGCCTGCAGGGAACCTGCCTGCAACCCCGGTATGTGCCCTGACTGGGAATCGAACTGCAGTTGTCTGGTTCGCAGGCCTGCACTCAATCCACTGAGCTACACCAGCCAGGGCCATTTTAAATACTTTTTAGTGAAGATTTAACAACTGAGAATTAGTTTGATGATGTTAGCTCTTCTTGGTTAGGCTTTTGAAACTGATGATCGCCAGCGTCATACGTGAACTTCTCTGCCCCATGTTGTCATCAGAGAATTTACAGGGACCATTCTAACCTCTCCCAGGGTCATGGCCGATGAGCTGACCGACTCCCGAGCGGTCCTACAGCGCCAGCACCGCGAGGCACAGGGCGCTGTACAGGATCTCCTGAGCGAGCGGGAGCAGTTTCGCCAGGAAATGGGAGCCACCCAGAGGTATGGCCCTTGTTCAGCACTGCGAGCATCGCCGCTGCCTCCTGCAGTGTCTGTCACCGTGACAGTTCAGTAGTACTGCTGCCCTGAGTAACTTACTGAGCATGTACTTTGAGTAGCGATTCAAAACAGATGCCCAGGAGAGGGAGGGAGACTAAAAAACAGAGGATACGTGTCTTAGTACACACATAATAGAAGAAATCTCTGGTTTTAAAAGTCAGTTTGGATTATGCGTGTAGCACTTTTGTAAAACTTTCAGTGGAAGCCGAGGAGTGCGCCCGTCCTTCCTTCCTTCCCAAGGGAAGGGCACCCTTGTGAGGACCGTTCGGCAGGGTGAGAGTGCGCCTTCGTGTCCGCCTGCACCACGGCCATCAGGACAGGTGGCCCTCCCTAGAAGTGCTCGTACTCCTACACAGCTGACTCGGTGCAACTCAGATCAGTGCAGGTCCAAGAGGCGACCGCAGGGCAGACTGGAAGAATGAAAACCCAACGCATCAAAACATCACGTTTTGCGGGAGGCAACTAAAGCAGTGTTTAGAGGGAAATTTACAACTAAATGCTTAGCTTAGAAAAGAAAAAAGGTATCCTCAGTAATGTAAGCTTCCCCCTTAAGAAATACAAGGAGCAAATTAAGCAAAAAGAAGAAAACAATAAGGACGAGAGCAGAAATAAATGAAATAGGAGGCCCGATGCTGCTTCTTTGAAAAGGTAAAATTAAGGAAACCCCAGTATAATCAGGAGGAAAAAGGATGCACACAACAGTATCACGACTGAAAGGTGACGTTGACAGGGGAGGGGTGTCAGGGACAGTCCCCTCTGCCAATACGTCCGTCGGACAGCCGGAGTGAAATGAAACGGACAGCCTCCCTGAGAGACACAAACCACTACCCACCAGTACTCGAGAACAGAAAACCTGAGTAGCGTAACCTATTAAAACAATGGTATTTATAGTTAAAAAACCTTCCAGGAAATGAAACTCCAGGCCTAGACTAATTCACCAGAGAATAGTAGCAAACATCTACAGAAGAAATAAAGCCAAATTTACACCAACTCTTCTAGGAAGCAGAGAAGTAGGGAACAATTTCCACTTGTTGTATGAGGCCAGCACTGTCCCCAGCACTGTCCCCATACCCAAACCAGACAGGGACTGCAAGAAAACTGCGGACCCTCTCTCTCGTGAACTTAGATGCAAATCCTTACAGAGAGTCAGTCAATCAAATCCGCCCAAGTGCAGGCGCGTGGCGGACCCGCAGTGCTCCCACGGGTTACGGCGGCGGCGCTGGAAGATTCCCATCCCCAGCGATGTGGCCGCCAGCACGAGGCGGGCTGGCGTGTCTGTGGTGATGCCGGTCGTGTAAAAGTCCACGTACTCGACAGTGATCACACGTGACTACGTGGTGCTTTATGTGTGTCCTGTGCTATACTTTGTACCGTTATTCTAGAGTGTGCTCTTTCCTCTTCCGGAGAAGCAGTGTGCTGTCCGACAGTGTACCGTGTTATGCCGGCAGCAGCCTCACCCGGCGACTGTCTCTGGACTGTGTCCTCTTCTCAATGTTTGCTGTAATCTCATGTCATACACTGACCTGCTGTACCAGTTTGGCGCCGGGAGCAGTCAGCTGTGCCGTGCAGCGCAGGTGTGCCGGAGACGCACCGTGTAGGCGTGTGCGAGGGCGCTCCGTGACGGTTATACCGTGATGCAGCTGTCGAACTGCGCATTGCTCAGAAGATAGCCTGTCGTTAGGTGGAGCGTGACAGTCTAAAAAGGCTATTTACATGCCACGTCCAAGTAACCTTTAGCCTGGGAACTGTAGGTTGGGATGTCTTTCAAAAACCAGTGCGACTCCCAGAAAAGAAATGCATACGAATATCTCGACGGATGCACAACTGCATGAGTACAGGAGCATATTTCACCCACCTAAAAACACGAGAACAAAGAAGTAGTTTGTGAAGGGATTTCCTGATCACCACCCAATGAACTGGTAAGTGCTTTCTGTTATCCGACTTACTTTACCAGACGTGCTGATTGACTGAACTCAGAGAGAGATGGAGAAAGATGTCACACTACTTCAGAAGTGTTTCTCACTTACTGAGCGTTCCGATTGTCCCCTCGCGCCCTTGTTAACGCCCGTGTCCCTGTGCTCTCCGCAGACTTCTGGAGGAGCTCCTGGTCTCCCTGCAGTGGGGGAGAGAGCAGACCTACACCCCCAGCGCGCGGCCCCACAGCGCGGCCGAACTGGCCCTCGCCAATCACACGCTGGCCCGAGCGGTGCATTCTCACCTTCTGGGGAATGTCGGTGCGCACGCCCAGAAAAAGGTTCCACCCACAGTTGAATTCTGCAGCAGCCCAGCAGAAAAAATGGCTGAAAAGGTGAACCTTTTCTTGCAGGATCTGAGGAACTTCTAATACCAGCCTCTTACCAGAACAAGGGCGGCATGTTCTGAGGGGAAGCGCAGGACATGGGCTCTGACCAGGATTCTCATGCAGATGAGCCTGTCGTCTTGGAGAAAGCGATTTCTCCCTCTGAGCTTTAATTTTCTCAGATATGATTATTCTGTTCTTAAGGAGAAAAATGCAATTGTTTAGAAAAAGCGCCTGTTTTTTAGGTTTTTCTTGAGTTCATTTTGATACGAAAACTATGTAGAATTTCTAATTTAATAATCAAGAATAGATAATAGATTATTTCTGCTCTTAGAAATTGTTGATTCCCACACACACACGTGAATGTGCCAAATGGTGCAGAATCGTAGAGTGCAGGCCTGCACACGCAGTCTTGGGTGAAGTCAAGGTCATGTCGATGCGGTGCCAAACGCCGTGGTCTCAGTTCTGGCCACAGGCCAGGTTCACTCCCGTTCCACTTCAACTCCCCACCTGTAGGTTCCCATCGGAGGCTGTCACGGACTAGAACTGCTCCGCTGGCTCAGTCTCCGCCCAGCACCTCTGCAGACAGCTGTGGTCCCCGTGTCTCTTCCGAGCTCCAACTCCTTCGTCCTCAGTCCCCCTTTTCCTGGGTCACCTCATCATTTTTATCCCTCGACCCCTATTCTTCTTCTTCTCCTCGGCCACTCTGCTAGCTCTCGCCTCGGCTTGTCCGGACTCCACTCTGAAGTGCCTTCATCTCTTCCCTTGTCTGCAGTCCCGTGTCTGTGCAGCTGTTTGTCCTCTTTGTTCCTACGCCCATCACACTCGCCAGCAGGCGTCTTGCTCCTTACGTACAGAAGAGAAAGAGGGCAGAGGCACACGCTCCCTCAGGGCCCCACTTGACAGCCAGACGCCTCTCTGGCAGCCGGCCTCCCATACGTTTCCGTGGGAGACCTCCACGTATTTGTCCCATGGACAGCTAAAAGTAGAACCACCTCATTTCTCCTTGTTTTTAGCACTTGTATTTTTCCCACTCAGAAAAAACCCAGAAGAAAAGCAACCTGCTTCTTCCCCACTGCTCCCTGTCTCAGCAGACCATACCTGCTGTACAGGGGTGTTTTGAGGATTCCACAAAATAACGCACATGAAGCCCACAGCAGATTCCAGTCTAGTCTCGTTCTCAGTCAGTGACAGCTGTCACTTTTAGTGTTTCCTTCACCCCCCAAATACTGTCGGTTTTACAGATCCTATCAGTTTCTCCTCCTCCCTCCCAACTCCAGCCGCCGGCCTTCAGCCTGGACCTCGGCAGTGGCCGCCTCACCCCTGGCTCCCTGCCCTGCTTTCCACCTGCCGGAGAGGTTTCCCAGACGCCACCCCTCATGCCCGCGCATTCAGCTCGGTGCTCCTGTCGAAACAGCTCCCGGGCTCCCTTATCGAGTCTGAATTCTGTATACTGTATAAAAGGATCGTCATAACCTTGACTCCATCTTCCCTTGTCAGTGATCATTTCCCAGTTTCACCTCCCGCCCTCCCCACACAACTCACATTCCAGTGGGTAACCACGTTTTATTCCACTATGCCACTGCATCTCACACGTCTGCACCGACCACTGCTTCTGCCTCCACCGCCCTCCCAGCACCTCTCTGCCTCGAGGAGCCAGCCCTCACCATCCCCCAGAACCGCCCTGGCACACCTCAGTGTGCCTTCTTCAAGGCTTCCGTCACATTTTACACATATTTATTATAGCGCTTTAACATGGACAGTCGCAGTTGTTCGATTCTCCATCACCCAAGCGATAAGGTCTTTTAAGGACGGGGCTGTGTCTTGCGTGTCCTTAAGATCTGGTATAATCCTTTGCACATAGTAGGTACTGGGCTGTTTAGTAAATGGATTAGCACCTAAACCTAAATCGTCATTTTGTCCTTTCTGTCCTCCTCCTCTGTTCCCTCTGGGAAGCTGTGTCACCGCCGGTGGCATTTGGCAGAACTGACCGCTCCTTTCTGGAAGCGCTCGTGACCCTGGCCTTATGGAGCCAGTCTTTCCGCAGCTCCTTCCCAGTCGCACCGCCTGCCTCCTCTGCACTGTAACCGTCCCCTCACGTGGTGACAGTGGGGGAACGTGAATGTGAGAAGCAGGAACGAGGAGCCTGCACTTCCACGCTGTCTCTGCTGAGAGTCCCTCCTGTCGTGGGCTCAGCAGGGGCAGCGGACTCGAGCAGCTGAGGGCGGGAGAGCCAGGGAAGGGAGCGGGGCGTCCCCGAGACCCGAGACACAGGGCACAGCGGCTGGCGCACAGGGCTGAGCAAAAATTAGGAAGAGAGAAAGGAGACGCCGCTGGCTTTTAAAGTGGTCAGAAACTTGGAAGTAGGGTTTCAATGCCAGAATCAAGGCAGAATCCTGACTCCCTGCAGCTGAATGCAGCAGACCGAAGGAGGAAGACGGGGAGTCTGGTGCAGGGTGAGCTTGAACGTCACCTCACGGAGAGCTGGTACGGCCTCACCCTCTGCGTGTCCATGCTTGTTCTTCAGCGTCCGTAGGAAAACAGTCGTTTCTTCATTTTTAAAAAATAGACTAGGTAGTGTAGTAACTACGCATCGCTATTAAATTTAGAGCTTTTTGAGAGAAGGGATAAGTCCTCTCGTCAGTCAGATTCCCCATTCACATGGGGTTTCGGTGGTGTTCACATATTAGTGAGGTGGAACTTCACGGGTAGTTACACCTCGACAGCACCCGGGCGTTCACAGCCCCCACTGGGTCCATCTGACACTGTTGCTTATTTCCTTAGGTTCTACGCAGTTTGGACCCAGCTGCCTGTATGGAAAGCCCACCTGATAATCCATTTTCTGAGTCTTCTCCAAGCACCTTACTCACTACAAAGAAAAATACTGGGCGATTTCATCCCTACACTCGATACGAAAATATCACTTTCAACTGCTGCAATCGCTGCCAGGGGGAGCTCGTTGTCCTGTAGTGGACGGTCAGCGCTGGCAGCCCGCTGCGGGCACACGCCTGCCCCCCGCTGCCGCTGCTCCTGCCACACTAGAAGTGCTCTCACTTTCTACTGATACGCGCCCTCAAAGACGTTCCACGGGCTAGACGGCAGACCACCCTTTCCTAACAGCGGTCTCGGGGTCAGGAAAGAACGAAGCTGCAGCTATGTCTCAAGTGCATGCAGAACGCTGCCCAGACCTGACATGATGCTTTCCCTACATCTAACAGGAAATGAGTTAACATATCTTCTTTGAGGCTCTAAGTATTGTTTATCTTGCTGTGTGTTTTATTTGAGCAGAGCTAATTTTGGCCATTGAGACAAGGATGGCCACAGGACAGCCCAGGCCACCTGCAGCCCCCCGTCACTTACTGCGGTCTGTGTGGCTTTTGCAGCGCCACTGCGGAGCCGAGCGGATGGAACGGGGCCGCGAAGCCCGAAATACTGTCTCGCTTTTCCCAGTTTTCCGATCCTTACTCTAAAGTAGTAATTGGCCGGGAATGTTGGGGGGAGTGTTTTTTCCTTTTCGGTGATTTTTGGGGGGCTACAAAGGAGGCTTAGGAAATACTATAGGTGAAGGTTTTAAGATAAGTGCTGTGTGTTAGGAAAATTACCAGTATCTTGCAGCCGCAGGAACAAGTGCTCCTGCGAACGTGTCCTCGTGTCGGTCCGGTGCGGGGACCCCACAGTGTGAGTGGCACAACCCGACGTGTGCAGACGACACAGACCCTGACAGCTGAGCTCATTCTGACCAGCGCAACCAGAACGTCCAGTGGGGTGTTTATAGACCATGGTGGAGCAAGTAGGACGTTTGTAGAATACTGCACAAACTCAAACGTGCAGTCCATCAATTAGTTTACATTATTCATGATGGACAATCACAAAATGTTCTTTTATAGGCCTTTAAAACTATCCATAAAATGTTTGTACCAAATTATACTACTTAGTTACAGAAGTGTGTATCAACAGAGAAATCTTCAAGAAACAAATCTGGTCAAAGTACAGATTTGATAGTTTTTGGTCTCATTCATCTGAATTATATTTATAATTTCGAGTGGCAATAAATTTCTCTATATTCTTTATTCAGCATTGTCTTTTTTCCCCCAGAATGATGTATTTCAGTTCAAGTTTTCTTCTAGCTTATACTATTTTCAACTGCTTCTTCAGCCTTTCCTTTAGTTTTACTTAGTATAAAACAGAGAGGAAATAAAAGAGAGAGGAAAAGTTTCATGACCTTGAATTTGGCAGTGATTTCTTAGTTGTGAAGTCCAGAAGCAAACAAAAAAGATAAATTGAACTTCATCAAAATGAAAGACTTCTGTACATCAAAGGACACTATCAACAGAATAAAAAGGCACCACAGAGTGGGCAAAAATATTTGCAAATCTCATATCTAATAAGGGTCCGGTGTCCAGAATAAATAAAGAACTACAACTCAACAACGAAAAACAACCCAATCTAGAAAAATAGGCAAAGGACATGAATAGCCATTTCTCCTAAAACGATACACTAATGGCCAATAAGCACATCAAAAGATGCTCAACATCACTAATAATTAGGGAAATGCAAATTGAGCCCTTTACGCCTGTTAGGATGACTATTTCAAAAAGGCAAAATAACAAGGTGAGGATGTGAAAAAAGTGAAACCCTTGTGCAGCTGGTAGGAATGTAAACTGGTGCAGCCACTACAGAAGGCAGCATGGCAGTCCCTCAAAAAGGTCACAAAGTCACGTTAAGACCCAGCGATTCCACATGTAGGTAGGTACCCAAACAGCTGGAAGCAAGGACTCAAACAGGTACTTGTGTGCCGGTGTTCACAGCAGCAACATTCACAATAGCCAGAAGGTGGCGGTAATACAGGGGTCCCTGGGTGGATGTGTACATACATACACACACATATATACCTACAGAAAATGGAATGTTCAGCCTTAACAAAGAATGAAAATCTGATCTACGCTAGGGCACAGAAGAATCTCTAGAACATTACGCTAAATGAAATAAGTCAGAAACAAAGGGGCAACTAGTGTACAATTCCACTTACAGGAGGCACTGAAATCATCAGACCAGAGACGGAGGCAGAGCAGCGGCTGCCAGGCGACAGGGGAAGGCAGAGTGGGGAGCTTTGGAAGACTGGCGGGCACGGAGCTCCAGTCGGGATGACGAGGAGTCCTGGGGCCGGAGAGCAGCAGGGGCCGTGCAGCGGCGTAGATGTGTGTAATGCCACTGAGTCGCACTTTTAAAAATGGTCAATTTTATATACGTTTGTGTACATTTTACTATAATAAAAAATTGTACCCTCTTATAACCTCAAACTGGCAGCAGACTTCTGCGATGGTTGATTTAAGAGTGTCCATAATAATAATAATAAAGTCAACACTTAGCTAAACAAAATGAAAGATCTCAAATCAACGACCTGAGCTTACACATTAAGGGACTAGAAAAAGAAGGCAAACTAAATTAAAGAAGGTAACACAAGGAAGGATATCGAAGTTCGAGCAGAAATAAAAAGAGAGAATAAAAAAGCAAGAGAGTATCAAGAAACCAAAAGTTGGTTTCTTCAAAAAGATTCATGAAATTGTCAAGCCTGTAGCCAGACAGACTAAGAAAGAAAGAAGATACAGATAACTAAATCAGAAATGAAAGCGGGGACATTATTACCAACCTCATACAGATTTTTAAAAAAAGGAACGAGCGTGCACTGACAAATAACCTGGATGAAATGGACAAATTCCTAGAAATAAATAATCTATCAAAACTGACACAAAAAGAAACAGAAAACAGGAACAGACCTGTAAGAACCAAAGCAGTTACATGAGTGATCGAACACCTGACGCCAGAGTGAACCCGGATGTAAGCCGTGGACACTGGGCGATGATGATGTGCCAATGCAGGTGCATGGGTCGCAACGAAGGCGCCACTTTGTCAGTGACACTGGCGGTGGGGGAGGTTGGGGAGGGCAGGGGAAATACGGGAACTCTGCACGTTCTGCTCAGTTTTGCTGTGAACCCAACACTGCTCAAAAAAATTGCCTACTAAGAAAGAAAAGCCTTCCCATGGACGTCCAGGACCAGAAAGTCTCTCTGACGAATTCCACCAGCTATTGAAAGAACTCACACCCATCCTCCTCAGTATCCTCAAAATAAAATAAATAAGTACATAGAAGGGGCAGGAGCGGGGGCCACTTTCTGACTCAGTCTCTGAGGCCAGTGCTACTGACGCCAACGCTGCACAAAGACAGCCCAGGAAAAGGCTCCTACAGACCGAGGTCTCCTGCGTCCTTAGCAAAACACTGGCAACCGGAACCAAACGGCATAGTGAAGGGGTCGCACACCACGACCACCATTACTTATCGACCACCGTTACTTATCGTTAACCAGTGCCATGTAGCGCATTCACAGAACAAAGGACAAGGCCACCTGACCGTGTCATTTGCTGCAGGGAGGGCTACAGGCGGCGGAGACAGGATTTAACAGTTACCGGCGCTTTCTGACTTAGCGCCCAGTGAGAGGGCACGACTCTGCAGGGGATCAGAACCCCGTCCTCTGAAGCTCCCCCGCACCTTCGGTGATGCTCCGCTCCCCCTCGCACCTGTGTGGGCGCTGCTGTCCTCGCCTCTTAGAAGCCCGTACACCTGTCAGGGACACCAATCCCCCAGGTGCCCAATTCCGACGGAGCCTCAGACACTTCCCAAATGTCCGCCAGAGCTTATAAACTCAGGAACTGCGAGAAAGGATGCTGTAGTCATACGGATTAGGTCTGTGAGCAAACTGCTTCCCTCTCGCACTTCCTCGTCATCCAAACAAGACTAACAGAGTTTTTATAAGAGTTACATCAAGTGATTTACATGAAGTATTCATGACAATGATAAACTGAGAGCTGGCCAATTTTGTAACATACCTAAAATAGCATTTGCCTAATTTTTACTTTTTTTCAGAAGTAGCCTCACTGACCGCTCGGCTTGCCCCGGGTTCTCCCAGGTGAGGCCGGGGGAGACCGAACTTCGGATGCGGCTTGTTGAAGGGGCCGCCCCTCCTGCCTCACAAAACGTTCTGCTGCAGTTTTTTCCATGATCATAGAAATATGTGCCTTTATCGTGGTTCTTTCCAGCTAGAAATGTTCAAAGAACCTAGAAGTCAAGGGAATAAAGAATTCCAAGTTCATTCACAGTTCAATTTGTTGCATGGACTAAGAGGTGGTATAACACATTTCAACACTTCAAGAAAAGAAAATATTTATTTTGTTCTATTTTTAAAAAAAAAAAAAAGGTAAATCACTATCAACATCACCAAAAGTACGTACCATTTCCATAATTTAGAGTACAACCAAAGCACGCGGGCCATAAAAGAGTGATATCCGAAATGCTGAGGCTAGTGGCTTCCGGGCGAAGCATTTAATAGCTACCTTCAGCTGTAATAGTCGGTGAAACGGAAAGCCTGGGCCTCGGGTGTGCTGTGCAGCCGGCTCTGCAGCTGCCTGGAGCGCCGGGCTTCCAGTCGGAGCTGCCGGGCCCGCTCCTGGGCAGCCTGCTGCTCCACGAGCTTCTCCGCCCGCTTCCTTCTCAGCCACCTGCAGAGACATCATCAGACCTGGTATCAACCGGAATGTGCTTTTCACGAGACCAAGTTACCACCATGGACGATGAAAAGAAGCTGAATTTCTCTACAGGGAAAGAAATGCTGTGGGCACAACACACATGAAAGAAGTGACTGAAAAGTTTCAGGCTTATCCCCTTGGCTCACACAGGAAGCATAGTTACATTTGATTTGGATGTTTGAAATTAAGTTGGTCTTACAATGAAATTGCCAACAAAAAAGTTTTTTTAGTGATCAACACTATTTTATGTGATATAGGTCCTATCCTTTTTTAAAATGTTCTTTTAGCAAATAAGTATGTGATGTGTTCCAAATAGCTTATTTTTTGCAACCAGCTGCATGCAGAAGTGTGAGCAGGCTAATGACACTCAGGCACCCGTGTCACCTGGCCCTGCCCGGTGGGGAGGCCACGGAGCCCTTGCTCGCCAGCGCGCAGCACAGCCTCCCCAGAGTGGGAAACGGGCCTGAGCGCAGAGGCCACCAACACAGCCCTGGGAGAGGCCACCGGCCGACAGACTTAAGTCTCTAAATCCTGCTTAGGTAAGATGACGTCAAAAATCACTGTGCACACACGTATCTGGTATATACGTGTGCATGTGGGGTGTGTGTAGTGTGTAAAAGTATGTGTATGTCTGTGTGTATATGTGTGCACACACAATTAAATTATATATGCACATAAAATTTTCAAAGAAATAAACAACCAGGTAGGTAATCGTATTAGAACAAGAGACTTAAGAAGCATCATTTCCCAGAGTTGTGTGGTCCTCAACTGGACACTAGTTTGAGTAGATTAACTGTAGCCATTTGGGGAGCCAACGGGGAAAAATGGTTACGAGCTGGATACAGATGAGTGAGCCGGCTGCAGAGCACTTTATAAGTGTGACCTCAATTTCTACTGTTAAATTGTAAGTACAAGAAACAGCTAGAAAATAGGCACTGAGGTCCTAACAACAGTGATTCTCGGTGATGAAAATGGGTTTTTTCCCCCCGTTTCCACAATGCACGTCTACTGCTTCTGTAATAAAGGGTTATATGTTTTAAAAAAAAGGAAACAAGGAAGGAAGGAAAGAAGGAAGGAAGGAAGGAAGGAAGGAAGGAAGGAAGGAAGGAAGGAAGGAAGGAAGGAAGGAAGGGGCAGAGGAACAGAAAGAAACATAGCAAAAAAAAAGAAAAGAAAAAGAAAGCAACTTCGAACAACAGGATTCCCCCAGCCTTGCGGGCCAGGTTACGAAGCCAGCTGTGCTTCCTCAGAGTCACCAGGCAGGCAGGGTCCCGCCCAGGTGACTGAACTGAGACCAGGACTGCCTTAAACCCCCAGGCTATGTGGCGAGTCGCCTTTCATCTGGCGGACGTGGATCTTCCTCCTCATCTGACTGCATTTCTTTACAGAAAAACATTTCTAGGTAAGTGCAACTCTTTATTTCGTTTTTCTGAGGACTCTGCAGGAGAAGCTGTAACCAACCTTTGGCCCATTTCCTGAATAAATGAACAAATCAACGAATGAGTGACTGACTGACTGAATGAATGGCAGGCCGTCACAGGGGTGCCATGGGAAACCACTTTAGTAGGGACACTACCTCGCAGGAATGGCACCGACACCGCACACGGTGGAGTTGAAGACCACTCTCACACCTTTACTGACGTGTGGGTCTAGAACCGAGCAGGCCTGCAGCACCGCAGGCCCAACGTCTGGGTGCGCTGGGCCCCGACTTACTGCTTGAAGGCCCTGTCACGGCCCGCGGCGCCCTTGAGGAAGAACAAGAACTCCTCCTGCTTCCGCAGCTCTTCGGTCTTCCTTTCTCTCAGCTGCTCTTCGTGCTTCTTCTTCAGCCACAGCTGGAAAGCTTGTTGTGGGTCTCTGTTTTCCTGCTGATTACAGACACAAGCTTTGCGTTATCCGAATAAGCCAAAACAACATCCCCCGCAAGAATGTGCTCTCACTCGCCGAGTTTTCATGGTGCTGTGACGCCGACCTCGTCACCTGCAGTCCTCGGGTCCAGACCACATGTGTCACCTTTGAGCCCACACACTGACCACCCTTCTGTCGGAAAATTCAGCACTGAATTCACTGCCATCTGGCTTCTTTCAAAGTCCTACTGAACACAGCACAGCGCCACTGTGTTCCTCGCAGCACCGTGTACAACAGCCGAGACATGGAAGCAGCCCGCGTGTCCCGTGGTGGGTGACTGGGTGGAGAGGATGTGGCATTTACGTGCAAAGGCACACTACTCAGCCATGGAAAGAAGGAAACAGTGCCATTTGCAACACCAAGGGTCTCAAGGGTGCAGTGATAAGTGAAATAAGTCACCTGGAGAAGGATACACACTGTGATTTCTCTCATTTATATGTGGAACATTAAACAAAAACAAAACAAATGAACAAACAAACAAAATGAAGACAGTGCCTTGGATCCAGAAAACAGACGGTGGGAGCCGGAGGGGACGGGAGTGGGAGTCGATGGCCTGGTGACCCACGGGGAGCGGGCCGCAGCGCACGGAGACATGGAATGACACTGAGAGCCCCTGAGACCACCTAATGTTATTGGCCAATGTTATCCCCGTAAAAAACACACACACAGAAGAGGTGGAAGAAAACAATACAGTATAAGAGCTGCACACACGTCATTTACATTATATTGGGTGTCACAAGTGATGTGGAGACGACTTAAAGAAGACGGGAGCACTGGGCAGGTTATACGCAAACACTACACCACTTAAATAAGACGCTGGGGCATCCAGGGACCTGGGATCGACCTCACAGTGACACCGAGGGATGACCGTCACCAATAAGAGAAGACCGTCTAATCACAGTGATCTTTGGAAAGCTGAGCCCTTTGACAAAGAGAATAATTTTGCACAGCGGCACCCCAACACAAACTGGTTGGAGAAAGGCAGTATGGATAGCATTCAGTCTTTGTGGCACTTTGAAGGGGCTCCATGAAATACAGTTTGAAAACCAACCATCCAACACTTATGTCTGCGGCCTTTCTCTTGGATTCTAACCGCAGAGCCTCAGACTGCCCGGCCACGTCCCACCCGGGTCACTGCTACGGAGGGTGTGGCCGCAACCTTGGCAGCCGTGGAGTTTCCTTGTAACCGTCGTGATGGCTTGGTCATGAGAAGCAGCCCGTGGGAGAAGCTTACTGTGTGGTTGCCCGGGCTTCAGAACAGACACTGTCTCCAGGGAATTTTGAAAAGTTGGAGCAGAAGAAAGAGAGCAAAGGGACAGATGCGGAGCCTGTACTTGGCACCGGGGTAGAGCACTCCTTTAACTCGCTCCCCGCATGTGCGCTCCGTGACAGGGAAGTCTTCCCCCGGGCACTTTCCTTTGTCTGGAACCCCCGTGGCAGAGAACAGTGCAGTCTAACGTGTGAGCTGCATGCAGCTGAGGGTCTCCGGTGCACCACGCGGACCTTGGTGGAGGGGGCCTTCAGGACCACCATGAGCACCTGGAAATCTGGAGTTGGTGGAGATGACAGAAAAGTGTTCAGTCTGGAATTACAGGTCAGGAGCCAAGGATTCATGGATGGGATGGATGGACTCTCAGTCCGCTGACTCACTTGACAGGTGTTTACCGGGTACCTGTTACATGGAGTGTCTACAGGCACGTGGGTCCCGGGCCACAGCGGTGAGAAACAGGGCCCCCTCTCCCATTCTCTCTAAGTCTGCACTGCACAACGCAGGAGCCACTGGTCCCACGCGGCTACTTACATTAGAGAAAAATTAAAACATTCAGGACCTCAGCCACGTCAGCTGCACTTCCCATGCTTCACGGCCACAGTGTGGCCAGTGGCCGCTTTATTGGGCAGCACAGACACGGAGCGTTTCCGCCATCGCAGGAAGTCGCAGTGGGCAGCATTGTTCCAGGGGCGGAGAGAACAAGTGGGCGGTGGACTGGCTGACCGACTGACTGGCATGCCAGACAGAAAGAGGAGTGTGGTGAGGACAGACGGCAGTCACGGGGCACCGAGGAGAATGGCCGTCCGACCAGTGGACAGCAGTGAGGCAGCGAGTCCCAGGCACCCAGGAAGAGGGCCTTCCGGGCACTGCCACGGAGCACAGGGTCCGGGCGGGTGGCGCTCAGCATGTTCAGTAAATGTCGGAGAAGCCAAAGTGAGTTTGCAGCCAAGGGGCCGGCGAGTGGAAGGGAATGAGGTCAGCAGGACAGGGATCTGATGACCTACAGCGGCCGGCGGTAGGAACTCTGGACGCCTTCCATAGATGAGAAGCCATTGTCAGAGGCTTCGGAGCCTACCTGACAGTCTGTTGTGTGTGGGAGGGGAGTGGACTGGAGTGGGGGCAGCGGGTGGAGAAGGGGGGCCGGTCATTAGGCGCCTGCAGCAGTTCGGGAAACACAAAGCAGCGGTCTGGGTTAGCGGCTGGGACTCCGGTACAACCTGAAGACAGATGGGCAGCGTTTGCCCCTACCTCCAATGTAGGGTTTTATGCTCTCAATGGTTGTTTCTACAGCTTTATAAATCCAACCATAGAAAATCACCTATTTCTGCACTGCGAAACAGGGAAATATACAAAAGGAAAAATTAATACAGCGCATTTCTTGAAGAAGTAGTTTTTATAATGCATGAAGAGTTCCCATCGATCAAAAAGAAAGAACCATTGTTCCTAACAGAAAAGTCGACACAGAATGTTTCAGTGAAAAGACTACCCAAACGGCTCACGTGCTCGACCTCCCTGAAAATCCAACGGTATTCCCTACCCACCACACGGGCAAAAATAAACCCACCGGAACGCGCACTTCTTCACGCGGGTGTAGGGGACATTCTGGGTGTGCGTGCTCTCTTTGTCTTATTTGAATATTAAAGTTACACTACAGTAAAAATATCAGCAGTTTTCCATTTCTCAGCACCGTAACTGTCTGAGTGGAGGTGGAACCGTTGGGTTTTTGCAAGGTTCCCCAGAACGTAATGGCAGAGCCATCTGTGCAGTGCAGCGAGGGCAGCTCCTGGTCGCCGCCTCCGCCCTCCTCTCTGTCAGAGACCACTGCCCACAGAGAAGCTTTACTTACTCTGCTGCTCATGGCTTCAAGCTGCTTTGCTCGCTGAACCCTCCTCGTCTCGATGACCTGCTCTCTTTTCTTCTGCAACCACGCTTTGAACACTGTGTCGTTCTCCTTTCTCTTTTCTTTCTCTTCCTCCATCTTCCGTTGCTCCTCCTGGTGGGGAGAGTGTCAAAGGCCTTGATGAAAGATTTTAACATCGTACCATGAGTTATTAGAGATAGTCTGACAACTAAAATTAGAATTCCCTGCCCCTAAAACTTTCCATCTAAATATTGGGCTCCTTTAGAGGACTTCCGCCAAGATGGAGGCATAGGTGGATGTGCCGCGCCTTCTCACACAACCAAGTTTAGAGACAACTAAATATTAGCAACAGAAAACACAGCCAGAACACAGAAAATTGAACTTTTCGGAAGTCTGTTAACGACAGCTTCTTCAGCCTGACCGGTAAGAGGGGTGAAACCAGCAGCTGGAGGAGCGGGGTCGCACAGGAAAACTCCGTCAGACGGACTCAGGCACACGGAATCCAGGCGCAGGGTTGGACCTGGTGGGCAACTCAGCGAGCGACCGTGGGGAAACAGCGAGGGAGTGGGGCTGCGGGTTGACTGTGGTCTCGCATCCATGCGTGGATAGACAAGCGAGGGAGTGGGCGATTGGACGAGAGCCAGCAGCCCCAGCGGCAAGCGGCTGCTGAGGGCTCCGCCATTTCCCCGCTCTGACCCCGCCTCCACATACAGCGTCATAACCCAGCGACCTAAGTGGCCCGGCCCTGGTGAACCACCTGAGGCGCTGCTCCTCACCCAGCAGCGAGAAATAGCAGAGGGGGCCGCCATTTCCCCGCTCTGACCACGCCCCCACATACAGCGTCACAACCCAGCGACCAGAGTCCAAGGTTCCCTTCCTCGTACTTAACGGGCGCAAACAGACCAAAAATGGCTCAAGAAGATCTCAAAGCCCCAGAGCCTATAAATCTAAGCGATGAAGAAATAGAAAGACTCTCAGACGCAGTTTAAAACACTGGTGATCAGGATCCTCACAGAACTGGTTGATTATAGCCACAAATTAGATATACATATGAAGGTGAAACTAATTGAAGTGAATGGAATTACACAGGAAATCAATAGCGATGAAAAGGAAACTGGGTCTCAAATCAATGGAGTGGACCAGAAGAAAGCAAATAATGGCCAAACAGAAAAGAGTGAAGAAGCAAGAATTCAAAAAAATGAGGAGAGTCTTAGGAACCTCCAGGACATCTTTAAATGTTCCAACATCCGAATTAAAGGGGTACCATAAGGGGGAAAGGCACAGCCACCAGTGGAAAACTTATTTGAACAAATAATAAAGGAGAATTTCCCCAAGCTGGCAAAGGAAATACACTTCCAGGAAATCCAGGAAGCTCAGAGAGTCCCAAAGAAGTTGGACCCAAGAAGGAACACACCAAGGCACATCATAATTACATTAGCCAAAATTAAAATGAAGGAGAGAATCCTAGAAGCAGCAAGAGCTAAGGGGACAGTCACCTACAAAGGAGTCCCCATCAGACTGTCAGCAGATTTCTCAAAAGAGACCTTACAGGCAAGAAGGGGCTAGAAAGAGGTATTCCAAGTCATGAAATCCAAAGACCTACAACCAAGATTGATCTATCCAGCAAAGCTATCATTTAGAATGGAAGGACAGATAAAGTGCTTCTCAGATAAGATCAAGGTGAAGGAGTTCATCATCACCAAGCCCTTATTATATGAAATGTTAAAGGGACTTATCTAAGAAAAAGAAGTTAAAAATACATGAACAGTGAAAGGACAGCAAACTCACAGTTATGAACAACCACACCTAAAACGAAAGCAAACTAAAAGGACAGCTAGATCAGGAGTGGAAACATAGAAATGAAGATCTCAAGGAGGGTTAGCAACAGGGGAGTGGGAGGAGGAGAAGGGGGGAGAAGGTACAGAAAATAAGTAGCATAGACAGTAGATAGAAAATAGATGGGAGGGACAAGAATAGTATGGGAAATACAGAATCTAAAGAACTTGAGACACATAGTCATAAACTAAAGGGGGGTAATGGTGGGGATGGGGGGTAGGGTGGAGGGGAATGAAGGGGGGAATAGAACAACTGTAATGGCATAATCAATATAAATAAATAAATAATTTAAAAAAATATTGGGCTCCTTTAAAAAGAAAAAAAAATCAGGCCTCTAATTTGCGTAGGAAGAGAACGAAGATTTTCTGGACAAATGGACTGTGGAGATCAAGTCTACAGCTACGTGGAAGTGCAATGCACATGCACCATTCAGGGGCCCTTTGACCCCCCCCTCTGCTTCCTCGTTTCCTTTTGTCCTGAAACTCCTCAAACTGCAGCTATGCAAAAGCAGCATCTACGGTCTTTATAAAGGCACTAAAGATGTTGTAAATGTTTTCACATTATTGATACATTTGTTAACTGTGATCAATGGCACTGTGGTTGTAAAAGAAAATGCTATAATCACTTAAAGCTGTATTTTTTTTTTTTTTTGAGAAAAAAAGCCAGGTTTGTTTCTTCATTTCTTGCCCTTGAAGTCCTCCTTGGTGACACCCTTTGCCTGAGACTCTTTGCCACAGTCCTTAACCACCACCCAACTGCCCCCGACCACTTCGAGAGGTTTTCCCTCTCTGCCCGTCTTATGGAGGCCACCCGCGAGCTGTATTTTGAAGTGAGCTGTCTAGGACCTGCTTTCAAAATACTCCAACCCGAAAAGGAGGGGAGGAAGCAAAAACATGTCAAAATCTCAGTGATCTTGGAACCTGGGTGATGGGAAGACAGGGGTTAGTGGTACCTTTACGTGTGTTCAAAACTCTGTATTCTGTTGGGAAGTATTTTCAACCAGTGTATGTTCGTAAGTTAGCATTTTTGCTACCAGAAGAAACATCTAGACAATTGCCTAATGATAAGAACAAAATGTTTCTTTTAATCCGCCTTATCCAGCTGATGTCAGAAAGGGAGCTGCCTGACCTTGACCCGGCTCCTCCCCGCAAAGCAGTCCCTGGGGCGAAGCAGCGTGGCCTCGGGGAGACCCCCCCACGCTGGGCGCCCTGAGTAACCACCACACTGTCACCATGCTGTGTCAATTTGGGCCACTTCAGTCTCTTCCACTAATCAGGTGTTGTCACCAGAATGAACTGGATTATGGACCCCATGCTCAAATGCTCCTCCGAGAATGGAATTCAGGGAGGAGTGCTCCCCTCCCATTCTGGCAGCACGGACCCTCCTCCTCATTGCTTTTGGTTGAGAAAAGTAGAGGAAGGAAAGGAAAACTTCTATCCTCTCAACAGCATAAAAGATCTTCTAAAAATGCCTATTTTCTAAGCCCTAATGGAGCTTACAAAGAGCATGACACCCAGAAAAGAAAACAGAACTGCCCACCGGCCACCCCAGTCAAAGTCCCCACCAGTTCCTTAGTGGAGAGACACTGAAGTTCTACAAAACCTCCTGGGTAACCGCCATGGGTGCGCGCACACACACGGATGTGCACACACACACACACGCGGATGTGAGCATGCAGATGGTTCAGTCACTCTCGACAAATCCCTCCGTGCTGCCGTAAAGCTGAGCTACCAGGGCCTCTTCAGAGCTGTGATGCGTCTGAGCCGAGTGACCGGAGTCGGCCTGTCCCAGTTCAGATGCTCGTGGCAAAATGTTCGGTGTGTGTCCTCTGGGCGCCCAGCCTGAGTGTGCTGAGTGTGCTGCAGGTGACCTGGTCTCGCCAACTCTGTTTTCCGTCTTTTCTGCCCCTGTGAGTTCCTGATAAATGTCAGAAATCCCCCCTCATGATTTCCTACATAAACACAAAATATACCATTTGCTAATGAATACCAAGAAAACTGGGCATTTTGACTCCAGCTTTGCTGCAAACAAGTTGAATGACTTCGGTAAAGTTAAACTTTCCATACTATAATTTGCTTATGAGTAACATGACCTGTAAGCGACCCTGAAACTGTAAAATTCTACTCACCCGTGATTCCACCGAGGCTGGGCGTGTATTTACAGACAGACGTTTTGTATGGTTCAGCTGGGTACCACTAGGTATCCAGGAAAACAGAGAACTGGGGCAGTGATTTAAGTAATTTAGGAAAAACTCACCAGTTTTGGTACCCGGACTTTTCATGTATAAATTACTTTTATTTTAAAAAGTGGAAAAATACCCAAAGATAATAATTTGGGATTCCATTGGGCATTCGGGAAACATTTTGTTAGGTGTATTAGATTCTATTATTAATCGAAACTAAAATTCCCGAAATCAAGGAATCGTGGGCATGGAAGATACATGAAAACACACACATCGCAGAGTGATCGACCAATTCTGCCCATTGTCTCCTAATCTCCAAGATGCTTTGCCCCCACTCTTCCATTGGGTGTCTGCTTTTCACCTAGCCCCCTGCCTTCCATAGCCACCTGACTTCTCCGAGCCTCACCTTTACGGTGAAAGGACCGGAGGAGTGGCCACTGAGAGCTACTCCAGCCCTGACACCAGTCCCCTGTCACTGTGCCTTGTGGGCCATGCCCGAAAGCACCCAGGTGGTCGTGGTGTGCGTTCCAACACACACTGGAAATGCTCAGACACTGAACGCACCGCCGGGGAAACAAACCAGCACAGAACACATCCAGACTCCGGAGAACCGTCTCCACTCCTACCGCGCCTGTGAGACAGAAAACGTGTTCCCCTTCCAGCCCACTGCCCCCTCGGGCTCTCACCTCTCTCTTCAGCTTCTCTCTCTTTTGTTCCAGCCGTTTCTGCAGTTCCTTCTGTCGAGGGGAAAGACAATACGTTGAGGTCACTGGCGATGCGTTCGCAGACTGTGTCCTGCGATTAGGCTTCCCACTGCCCTGAGTTGAGTCTGAGTGGGCAGTGGGGCTGGGACCAGTCCTGGGGTTGGGCGGGGGCTGCGGGACAGACGCCCATGGTTCCTCTGCTGATGAGCCGTGGATCTTTGCTGCGGGCTCTTCTTTCTTCACACCATTGACAGGTGAGTTGGAAGATCTGGGTGACGACTGCTGGGGTCCATTTTCTGGACTACTGACCTTATGAATGGGGGATAGACTCCCCTGACTCTCGATGTCTTGTAAGTTCAGAAGTTCAAACTTTCCATCTCTTTCCACGAGTATCTTCCTGTCCTTGCTTTCTTCGAAACTCCCACCCGTGACCGACAGGAGCATACCGTCTTGTCCAGATTCACTGGAAATACGTAACTGGGACAGTTTTCCAGACATGTGGCTTTCACTCTCAAAACAATATTTGTAGTTGTCAGTGTCTTCCAGCGGAGGAACTTCTAGATCCACTAATTTGTCCTTGAACTTAAGTTTGCGCTCCCTTTTATCATTCACGGGTTCTTGGTTCTGTAGAAGCTTGTTGGCTTGTACGATTTTCTCCATGATGTATCTCTTAACTTCCTCATCCTCGTCCTCCTCCAGGTCTTTCTGGCTGTCCAGTTTGGATTCCTGGGAAGAGCTTTCACTGTCTGAGTCTGACGCCAGATCCACAGGCTGACTGCTCGGTACAGAGATGAAGTCGCTCCTGGGCACAACCTCATCCCTCAGAGCGCTGCCGGGATCAGTTTGCCATTTGGTGCGCTCCGCTCCTGTTTCATTCTCTTTCAGCTCTGGGCTCGTATTCTCTTCGCTCCCGCAAGCCATCTAAAGGACAGATAGGAGGTTCTCTTTTCAGTGGACATTGAGACGGTCTGTCTATCTATACGTAAAAAAATCTGAAATGGTTTTTCAGATTCATGCAATTTATTTTAGAAACAGGAAAATGTATGTACCTCTTGCTCATTCTTCGCTTGTAATATTCTCACACATTGGTGAGCACCTCAGGGGAAAAGCATGGAACATCAACATTCAGGAAAAATTGAACTTAAATTTGTATTTGATGTTACGGAGTGCTACATTGATATTTAAAATGTTTATGCTAATGCATGAAAGGATAACTATAAATACTACAATGTTATTTTAATATTCTGCCCTCTATAAAATTTCCCTCCCTTTACATTTTCAGAAGAATATATTTTTAAGATGTTTTCTCTTGGTAATACTTGTATTCTTCAAAACAGCATCTTTATTCCCAAGACCATGAAAGTTACTATCAATGGTCAAGTCCTAGTTGTTCTGAGGTTCTTAGGATCTTGAGCTTATTATTGCCATTTCCTGCAGGAGCCAAGTCCAAATTCCAGATCAATTTTTACCTCCAAATCTTCTAGAGGATAAAAAAGTAAAAGACCCTTTGCTTTTTTCTCAATACTCATTCGCCTGAAGAGCTCATTCTCTCTTTAAGGTTTCAGTTACTAACTGAAAGGCCCTGTTTTTTGAGGCTTTGCTTTATTTTTCATTTATATTAAAAGTATAACCCCACAATTTTACCCAAGTCTATATAAAGTAGAAATAAACTGTATTCATTTTTTACTTTTGATGCAATTATATTACTTATATTACATACGTTAAATACGACTTTGAAATTATAATTTTAGGTTTATTATGTGCTAACTTAACCCCTGTTATCTCACTAATTAGCCCCCTGCCTTAATACAACACTGGAACTGTCTGTGCCTCAATGTTCTCATCCATGGGACAGGGGTAACGTCCCTTGTTCTATGCACATTAAAGAAATTGTGAGAGGTTTAGATAAGACAGCATGAAATGTCTCAAGAACTGCAAAGCACTTTGTTAACATCATTATTACGAGGGCTGTTGGCAGTTCAGATATACCTCTGTTATGCTGACGTCACTTCTTTCTTTCTCGTTCATTAACCACTCCAGATCCTTTTCAAAGTCATCTTCATATTCTTCAGTCTCTTTGGAATCAGCACCTCTGCCTTCCTCCATCGTCCATGTGTTAAAGAATAACGCTACAGGGTGAAGAGAGACAAGGCCTGTGTTAGGGCCGACTCAGGGGCAGTGTGAAGTACCAAGGTGATGTTGAAGGCAAGCTCATTAACACCCCCCACATAGAACCTGGGGCGTTCAGAATGAACCTGTACCTGTGCACCCCAGGAGAGACGTACAACGGCCAGACATTTTCCGTGCACATCACTCCTAACCACCACCCCACTCCCCCCAGTTCCTAAAACCCACATTGATCAGAAGACTGGAAGGGGCAGGTGGGAAGACCATCTGAGGCCTTGAGGGGCATTTTCCATGTTCCCTGCGCCTCATGAAAATGCCCCGTCCAGGTCAGAGGGCACGACTCGGCTTCTTTCGTCGCCCTCACTTGCATTTTCCCACATTCAAACGGAAACAGGTGCATCACTTCCCACCCTCAGTTTCTCAGTCCCCCCTCAAGAAAGAGAGAGTCAGTCACACGGTGTAACTATAATTTGAGATCCGAGAGCCTTTTGACTGGTTCTCATTTATGGTAAATGTTGACTTCCCCAAAGGCAGACCATTGTCACTCTAAAGAAAACATCTGTTCATTAAGAAAACAGACTCTGATGCCTAATACTAGAAAACAGTAACAATGAACAGGGATGTCAGATGAAAGTTCATACAAGTCTGTGAACATAAACGAAATGTAAATAAATGTACTACATGTATATATAAAGGACTGTGGCAGCAAGAATTAAAAAAAGCAGCTAACACAGTCTAAAACTGGAAGGACCCTGGCATGCTGAGAGGGGTTCGGATCCCGAGTCCGAGAGTCCGTCAGGTCCTCCAGACTCACAGAGCAGCAGGAGGAAGAGCAAACAAACAGGCCGAGCCTGGACCTGAACCAAAGTGTGCTCCCGAAGAAAGATCCGGAAAGGGGGGTCAGTTTGAGGTCATATCGCCTTCCCAAAAAGAAAAGGGTTGAGGGAAAATGGTTTATGTACATTTAACTGTCACAAAATGGCCAAAGGCAGAACTATGTGGTGATATTCTACACACTTGCCCTATTTGACTTAAACAAAAATGGACAAACAGAAAAGAGCAGTGCTCTCTAAGTGTGCAGAGAATATTAGATCCACTTTCAAAAGAACCCTGGGAATCTGATCTTCAGGGCTCCAGACACCTGGGGGCCTGTCCCTCTATGGGCCTTCGCTGGCTCCTGTACCAAGAACCAGTTGCCTGAGACCCTCTCTGGGAGAAGAACTCGAGAGACCCAGGCCCACGTTTAAAGATGTCAAATGAGAGCTCTTTTGCCTGAATTAATAAATTACCCACAAACTCATTTTGGCCGTTTGCTTCCCTCTTCTCTCCCAAACACTGGATTGGATCACCTGACCTGGTGCCAATTCTACCACAGTGAGAATTATCATATTCCTCCCACTGTTTGCCCACAGATGATAGTGGGAGCAGGAGGGTGGACGTCTGGCTGCACAGCACCAGCCAAGGGACAGGGCTTTTCAGTCCTACGTGCGAAAAGCATGTTCACAGGTTCTGATGGACACTGGATCCAAACCAACTTTTAAAATAATGCAGACACTCCAACGGGAATGAGCTCCAAGGCTGAGGCCGTGGGCGACACACCAACAATATGGAAGTCTGCACCCCGCTTCCTGTCCTGCTGTAGTTTAGAGAACAGCAGACGAGCTGGCACACACTCAGACCAGGCTAGCGAACCAGGAGGGCTGGACAGAAGGGACAGAGGAGAGGAGGAGGCAGGTTGGGCGAGTAAAATGTCGCACAGCCAGATGCTGAGGAGCCCTGAACTCCTGGGAATGACAGCCCGAAGAAAGTACGGGACAGCAGTGACGACCACTGGAAATATTTAAATGGCCTCCACGTGAAAGAGAGTTGGACTTGTGTCACTCACTCCAAGGAGCAAAATTAGTCCTGGGCGCATTTGGATACGATGAAAGATAGAACGTCCATGTTAAAACCTGTGCTGAAGTGAGGTGGGAAGGCCCCTGCAGTGCCCCTTGAAGATGAGCAGGCATGAGTGTTTTAATGGGCATCGTGGCTTTAGAAAAAGTGGAGCCAGATGACTCTTAAGGTTGCTTTTAACCTTTTCTGGAAGATGCAAATTAACCAATAACCACCAGCTCATGGAAAGCAAGAGGATGTAAAAGCAAATCCATAGTACCATGAGGAAGCATCTTCTAAATAAATAATCAGTGTCAGAATGACTAAGTTCAAGATTTAAAAACGTCGCAGATAGAGAGCAGGCTGTCAGCTGTTGGGGCAGACTGCGGACACAGGGGTGGAGGGATAGAGCAAAGAAGACGACGAAGAGCTGGGAAAAAAACGCATGAACACAGACAGCACTGTGGTGATTGCTGGGCGGTGGAGGAGGGTGTGGGGGGATAAATGGTGATGGATGGAGCCCTGACCTATAGTGGTGAACACACCAGGCAGTGCACAGATGATGTGTTACAGAGTGTGCACCTGAAACACGTAATTCCTTCTTGATATTTATTTCTTTCCAACTGAGATTATAAAATGGACTTCCTCAAAATGCTCAAAGTATAGCTGCAACAATTTGTAAATCACAGGTTGAGAGCGATGATGCTTTGAGACGACCTGAACAAACCAAGTCAGTTATTTCAGAGTGAGTTTACCTACCACTGCCTACCTGCAAGAGAGGTTAAATCACATTTACAGTTACGTCTACTTGTCTGCCAATTAAAATAAGGGTGCCAGGGGTCTGCTGAATAAATTAAAATTCAGTGTGATCCAAAACACATAAGTACTCCTATTTTTTCACAGTCACAAATGCCTTAGGATAATCAGCTTTCTTTCAGACCAGAGAACTTGAAATGTACTATGTGGAGATGTTTAAGTATCATAACCATTAGCATAAGATTTCTGTGGAGCTCTCTAGTGCTTTCCCTTAAATTTAATAAATATAGCTGAACTTGTAAATAAATGGTTGACTGAAGACTTTAGTAAATATGCTTCATTATTTACAATGAATCGCAACCATATGAAAACTCAAATTTAAAACTAAAACAGACTTCGGGTCAAGATGGAGGCGCAGGCAGATACACTGTGCCTCCTTGCACAACCAAAAAAAGGACAATGGCAATTTAAAAACAAAAAAGCCCAGGACTGACAGAAAAGCAAACTGTATGGAAGTCCGTTCAACAACCAAGAAGTTAAAGAAGACACATTCACCCAGACCCTTAGGAGGGGCGGAGCTAGGCAGCCAGGTGGAGAGGGCTCACGGCAAGGCAGCAGCTGGCAGACCCAGCAAGGCGGCGGATTATGGAGGAGCAAGGCAGCTGGCGGACCAGGGGTCCCACATTTGCTCGCAGACAAAGTGGCAGGAACAACTGGGGAGCAGGACAGACTGCACAACCCAGGCCCCCAGCACGGGGAAATAAAGCCTCAAAACACTGATTGAAAACACCTGTGGGGGTTGAGGCAGCAGTGGGAGAGACTCCCAGCCTCACAGGAGAGTTTGTTGGAGAGACCCACAGGGTCCCAGAACTACACAAACCCACCCACCTGGGAATCAGTACCAGAAAGGCCCACTTTGCTTGTGGGAAGCAGGAGAAGTGACTGAAATCTGGTAGAGAGCAGAGCAAGCACCATTGTTCCCTCTTGGACCCCTTCCCTGCATACAGCATCACAACCCAGTGACTGGATGCCCCACCCTCGTGAACACCTAAGGCTCCACCCCTCACTATGTAACATGTGCTACTAGACCAAAAAATATGGCTCAAACAGAAGAACAGATCAAAGCTCCAGAAAAAATACAACTAAGCAATGATGAGATAGACAACCTATCAGATGCACTGTTCAAAACACTAGTAATCAGGATGCTCACAGAATTGGTTGAATTTAGTTGCAAATTAGATGAAAAAATGAAGGCTACACTAAGTAAAATAAAGGAAAATGTACAAGGAACCAACAGTGATGGGAAGGAAACTGGGACTCAAATCAATGGAGTGGACCAGAAGGAAGAAAGAAACACCCAATCAGAAGAGAATGAAAAGACAAGAATTCAAAAAAAGGAGGAGAGCCTTAGGAACCTTCAGGACACCTTTAAATGTTCCAACATCCAAATTATAGGGGTGCCAGAAGGAGAAGAGGAAGAGCAACAAGTGGAAAAGTTATTTGGACAAATAATAAAGGAGATTGGGTTCCTTCCCCAATCTGGTAAAGGAAATAGACTTCCAGAAAGTCCAAGAAGCTCAGAGTCCCAAAGAAGTTGGACCCAAGAAGGAACACACCAAAGCACACCATAATTACCAAGATTAAAATGAAAGAGAGAATCCTAGAAGCAGAAAGAGAAAAGGAGGCAGTTACCTACAAAGGAGTTCTCATCGGACTGTCAGCTGATTTCTCAAAAGAGTCCTTGAAGGCAAGAAGGGGCTGGAAAGAAGTATTCCAAGTCATGAAAGACAAGGACCTACATCCAAGATTGCTTTATCCAGCAAAGCTATCATTTAGAATGGAAGGGCAGATAAAGTGCTTCTCAGATAAGATCAAGGTGAAGGAGTTCATCATCACCAAGCCCTTATTATATGAAATGTTAAAGGGACTTATCTAAGAAACAGAAGATCAAAAATATGAACAGTGAAAGGACAGTAAACTCAGTTATTAACAACCACACCTAAAACAAAAACAAAAGCAAACTAAGCAAACAACTAGAACAGGAACAGAACCATAGAAATGGAGATCACATAGGGGGTTATCAACAGGGGAGCGGGAGGGAGAGAGAGGGGGGAAAGGTACAGAGAACAACTAGCATAGATGGTAGGTAAAAAATAGACTGGGGGAGGGTAAGAATAGTATGGGAAACGTAGAAGCTAAAGAACTTATGACCCATGGACATGAACTAAAAGGGAGGAATGTGGGTGGGAGGGGGGTGCGCAGAGTGGAGGGGAGTGAAGGGGGAAAATGGGACAACTGTAATAGCATAATCAATAAAATATATTTTAAAAAATTAAAAAAGTGTAAGCAAAATAAAGAAAAATAAATTGATGACACATTAAACACAGTAGGTATTATGAAAGCACACTAATATGCCTTTACTTAAAAACAAAGGCACAGCTGGTGCCTCAGAAGTAAATGAAAAGATGCATCGGAACTGAAGTGCCATTATTTTCCCATAATTCTGCTTACCAGCTCATGGCTGTTTTGCAAGCAAACAAAGAACATGAAGCATAAACCCTTGTTACCAAGTCCACTAAGCCTTTTCCAAGTCCGTCACAAGATATTTAATCCCCTTCTGTTCTTTTAATCTTCCTCTCAGGGAACTGGCCTTACCGTACACAGTCAGCAGCTTGAGCAAAAACACACAACAGAATTGCCTAGTGCTGACTTCTTGTGAGTTTTCACACATTTTAATTCCCATGTTTATCCTCAGTAAAAATCCGTGCAACTAGCTTGGACCAGAACCACCTTCTTCATAGAGAACTGCAGTGACGGAAATCAGTTCCTTCCCCCTGAGTGTCTGCTAACTCCTGCGTAGGTACGTGACTGCCTATCTTTGAACCATGAATCACCCCGAGTCCAGAGATATCCACAACTTTTGGTAACTTTCAGACTTCAGAACTTTCAAATGGAGTTTCATCCAACTCACTGACTCTAGTCTCATCACCATTTAAACATACGCTTGTCCAAAAGCTAAGAAAGTTGAAAAATGTCAAAGGAAAAACCTTTTAACATAATAACATAAGTACTGAAACAAAATCGAACCCACAGTCACCTCCTGAGACCACCTGGCCTATTCTCTGGGCTGCGGCCTGCCAAGACTGTGTGTGGTTCCTGTGAGTAAACGTTTTTAAAAAACTCGTATGTCTGTCGCAATGCATGGCAATTAATAAATAGCAAACATCAGGCGATCGTTTCCACTTGCATCCAAGGCACCACCGATCTAATGAAGACCTCAGTTCTTGGAAGCTAACGTCTCAGGAGTGAGTTTTCTGTCCCAGGCAGGAGACCGTGGGGACGGGGAAGAATATGACAGTGGTGAGGCCAGACACGCGAATCCAAGCCAGCCGCTGCCGGGCACCGTGGACCCGACACTGGGAAGGATGTGGAGCCAACAGGAAGGCTCTTCCCTCTCATCTTTACCCACCTTTCCTTCCACATGTCCCCGGTGGCTCCCCCTTTCCCCTCGCTCCCCACCCCCCTGAATGAGTCCACACCATCCTTCCCTCTGTCCCTCTATAGCCCCTCCTGCCTGTGTGAGCTGCAGTGGTTGAGGTCACAGAGATGGCCGGGGGAGCAATCCTCTCCTCCTCTTTCTAAGCTCTTACGGGGAAGTGAGAGCGAACCCAGCACCTACTACCAAGGCTGCCGGGGCCTGGCTGCTATGGCAACGGCGCGACTCAGCGTCCTCCACCTGGGCGTCTCTCACTACGCCGGCGCCTTGGGCTCGCGCAGGCGCAGACGGCAGCCTGCGGCACCTGCACAGCTCCCAGCAGGTCCTGGTTTTATGTGTCCGCGGAGGACCTGCCAGTCTGCGGTTTCCCCGGAGACGACCGCGGACTTCCGGCGGCACCCACGGGTTGCCTGAGCTGTTTTAGGTGCTGGCTGAAGGCTGCTCTCCTCTCCTGGTTGTTTTTCCAAGGGTGCCTGTCTCTCTTGCCAGTGTTTGGAAGTTGTTGGAACATCTATGAGTATGTTTCTGTATTTTCTCTCTTTAACGTCAAAAACTATTAATATTTTGTTTTCCCTAGTACATAGGCAAATTGCCAAATAGTTACCAGATGTGGGGCCCGAATTTAGATTGTGTTCACAAACAACAAAATATTAGGATGGTTCCCTCCCCTCCAGAAATAAATAAAAACGAGAAATGAAAATATATACTCAGAACAATCCACTTTTCAGATTATTTTAAAACATTTTTTAGAATTTCTATCATTTGGTGTAATAGCGCACTGTTTCTCCAAAAGAGGGGCAATATAAAATTGGATTTTTAAGTATCACCCAGACCGTAAACTAAGTTTTTAAAAAAAAATAGGATTCAAGGTTAAAATGAATGGCAGTAATGAGTGCATTCCTTGGCTGCCCAGTGGAACTTGAGGTTGGAATGACCTAATGTTTGTTCTGCTGCAGAACTCGCTTTGAGGCCACAGACTTGGACAAAAATAAAAATACGTTTTTTTGATTATGGAAGGGCAAAGGAATTTTAGGCAAATCTTCACTGAACGTGGAATTACTACCAAAGCTAGAGTAGACCTTCGGTTTCGGAACTCCTAGCTTGATAGTTTTCCCACTGTACAATCTGTCCTGATACACCTGAGCCACTGCAAAAGGTTTATGGCACCGTCATTCATTTAAGAAGGCAGGGAAACATTAGGACGTATTCCTGATCCCTGCATGAAGGAGCTCACTTTAAAAGGAGAGGGAACACAGGGTGACTGATGCACACAGATGCATTTAGCTCAAAAAAATAAAAAAGAGGGACCAATTAGAAAAACGCGACAATATGAACTTAAGAAGAATGACTTATTCAAGAGGGCAGGTAGGGCATTGTATGTAGAGATAGGTGATGGCGTTTGCCAGGCATTGAGTTTACCCCAGCATCTTCAGGTGATTTCGAATTGCTGGTTTAAAACATGAAAGGGGCGGGGGGTGGGGGGCAGTGTGGCCTAAAATGCAATTTATCCTCAATAGCCTGCAGTACCACCTGAGATATCTTAAACACATCGTGAAAACCACTGCAGTACCACCTGTGAACAAGCATTTCCATTAAAATCAGTACCATTTTTAGGCCAATTAAATGCCTCATCTATTTCTTCTAATCTGTGCAGACAGACACAGTATTTTCATATTGTTTGGGTTTGTTGAGACATTTTGCAGACTTGCTCCATTGACTGGACATTAGGGAGAAATTCAAAGCTTACAATGAGAGGAGGCATTAGATTTGTCCTGTGAGCCAAACATGTTTGCCAGGGGCTCAGCCCTAAGTGGCCTGAGATCTGAGCAAGGCAGGCAGGACTGTAGAAACGCTGATCAAAACTACCAGGAAGTTGGCAATGATTTACTTTTTTAAGGCGGACTCTTTTGAAAACCTAGCGTTTTGAATTCCTTCCCATCCTCATTAATGAAAACAATAGAGGAATGAGGACTGCTCTAAGATCCTTTTCCAGACAAAGGAGGCAGTGGCCAGAAATGCCTTTTCCAAACTAAATCGCCTTAAACAAATGTTAGGTGTTAACTGTGAGGATGCATGATTAAGTAGAACAGTTTCTATCATTGCAGCACAGTGCCTTGAATAAATCACCCAGTGGACTAGAGAGTATTCGTAGGCATTTTAATCTTGTTTTAAAAAATAATAGGGATTTAGCTATTGCACTGGCAGGTGGCTATCTTGAGCCCATTACATATCTATATAACTCAGTATTCATATGGATGTGTTTTGCAACAAAAGACAAAAAATAAGGCACAGTCCCTAGACAGAAGGCATACAGCATTAAGGTACAGGGGATAAAAGTATGAGAACAGAAAATTTTATCTTAAAATTTAATGGGGGCATTAAAAGTTTCCAAGTCTTTGGTGATAATTAATGCCTCGAGGAAGCCGGTTTTGGAAGGGGGTGTTAAAGGAAAGGTGCTTATTTGGGTATTGCGAGAAAAAACTGATTTGGTGTCCAGGATACGATGAACAACCAATGCTTCCCTGGGTATCACGGTATTTGGGGCTGGAACAAACACAAGATGGTAGCTTCTGCCCTTGATTTGGTTTCATTTACTTTATTTTTAAAATCCAGTTAACATGAAAGGGAATGTGGGTCTTTTTGGTTTCTAAAAGGGAGAAGTTTTTAAAAACAAGTGAGAAGTGTCAAAATCAAGAAAAATAAACTGCAATGTTGTTCTAGAAAAAACTAGGAAAACAACAGAAATAAGGAGAAGAGTCAAAGGTAATGATCACAAAGCAATGGAAGAATTAACAGGATACAAGGTTAATTATGAGGAGAAGGCTTAATATGAAATTTGTCTTAAGACAAATTATTAACTTAAAATAATTTTGATGAAAAAGGGGAAAGATACTGTAAAATATTTATTTAATAAAAATAATCTTATAATCTATACAGAACCGAATAAAAGTACAATAAATTATTTCCAATTATTTGCAAGACTATATACAGTACAATTTGCGAACAGGTTGCAGCTTCTACAAATGTGGCCACACACCAAAGATGTGAACGTATCAGCGTCGGGTGTAAAGGCTCCATTTGTGTGCCATGAACTTTGATTTCAATTCAGGCCAAATGATGCTTTGGTAATGTGAACAATTTGATTGCACCACAGTCCATTTTATGTTAAAAAATTAAATGAAACGCTTCGAATACCACTTTTCCATTTGTTTCTGAGTAAACAATTCCCTGTGTTGCAAAATAAAATGGAAGATGAAATATAAATTTAGAGTCTGCCACTTTCATGACATTATGTCCCCTTCCCACCCTTAGTGTTTTCCCCTTCCCTGTATCTGCAAAGAGGTGAGTGGAAAATGACCGAGTCTTATCCTATTAATTTGCTTCTAGAGCTTCCGCTTGAACCAAATAAATACATCAATTCTGCAGTCTTGACATTATTACTCACACTCTTTAGCTGTGTTGCTATAAAAAAGTTAACCCCCCACCCCAAGATTCTTTTCAAGATAAGGCAACAAAGGCGGCGTTAAAATCGAGGGATTGAGCAAAAAGGGAAAAGGACTCATGGACACGAACAACTGTGGTGATCACAGCGGAGAGAGGAGTATAAGGGGACTACATGGTAATGGAAAAAAAACTGCAATAAATATTAAATTAAAAAAGTGTTCGTGTCTCCCATACTCTAGCAGCCACTTGGTAGACTGATTTGAGGATTAAATGTACACAGAATAATGTTTGTTCAAGTACCTTGGAAATGGAATCACTAGCAGTTGTTACTTTAAGCAAACATTCTAGGTGATCCACTCTTAGAAGAAAAGGCAGGTGAAATGTACAAAATGCAGGGATCACATCTATCCTGGTTCCTGTCCCATTGAAATAATCAAAGAGGATAAGATTGTGGAAAAGGCCTTGGAATAATCCAAATACTAATGACACCCTTATCTTGGATGTGAAGGACAAATATAAAAGCTCTAAATGGAGATGAAGTTATTTAAAAAAAGACTTTTTCGTTTTATTTTGGAAATAAAAGGGAATGCAAGTGCAGAGTGGGCTAGTTGTGTCTTTAGCCCATATTCTAACTTTTCATCAAGGAATTAACAGCCCTTCATACTGAAGAATAAACGATGAGGAAACCTGCGTTACTTTTTTTGGATTAGGTCTCTTCATTCAAATTATTAGCAGGCTTCAAAACTTGCCTTATTTTCTAACTAAATGAGCTTCTCTGGGAAGCATATCAATAATGCAAACATGTGCTTCTCACAAAAATCTACACAAATACAGAACTGTCAAGATGGGAACCGAGAACATTCATACAGTGAGTTTTTAAAAATAAGTTATCAGAAATGCTACACACTCCTCATAGGACAGGACACCTAACCAGAGCAAATATTGCTTGTGATGAGAACAGCTTTCATCTGTAGAAACACAAATGCACATGAGTAACACAAAACAAGAATTCGGTTGAACAGAGGCAGGTGCTGTCACAACATATTTCTACCTCGGGCTGTAACATCTTGTGGTCCCCGTGGAGCCCCGGTCTCCCCCTACCCCCGCCAACCCGGCTCGTCAGATACAGAAGTGCTTGACCTATGACACACCACGCACTTGCTCTCAAGTACACGGCAGCCTATGCTGCATGACTGTTTGCAGTAACTTGGTTTTCAAAATCGAGTTCCCTTTTGAATCAGAAAAAAGCCATCTTTAAATTACCCACGGAATAAACTTCTGCTTCTCTGAACACTATTGTGTTACTCTAGGAATACATGTATGGTCAGCTGGCTGCTTCGAAGCCATGAAGTGCTCATTCACAAATACATGTCTGCACCGTAAAGATGAAATACACCCAGAGCCGTGGTGGTGCGGAGTCCCTGCCATGAGTAGCGGCTTGTCAGCGGTGTCCTATATAGTAGTTACTTGAGAACTTGACTCTGGGTCCTCTTGCCTCCTGTACTTCTTCATAATAGTGACTGTACCGTTAGCCAGGAAAACCACAGCAATGAGGGCGAAATAGCCGGCGTAGATCAGGAACTAATGCGGGGGAGAGAAGGCATTGACAGAATCATCAGTAAGAAGGCGAGCTGTTCTATTACGTGTGTGTAAATAAACACACTTCAAAATTAGAACTCATTCAGTTTCTCCATAAAACTTCAAAAAACAGTGTGCTCACCCCCGTGTCAGGCGCTGAAAACACACACAGGCAGCAGAGCGTGCTGGTCCGGAAGCCTGAGCACAGATCCTCACTATATCCCTGGCTGGCTGTGTGACCTTGACTGAGACACTTCTCTGAGCCTTGACTTCACTTTCAAAATAGAATTCCTAATGCCGTGTTTTCTGCCTTACGGGGTTGCTGGGAAGGGATGAGCTCACGTATGTAAGTGTTTATTAGCATAATGCTGATGCTGTTGATGCGACTGTTTGTATTTTCGTGGCTTTTGTCAGACTCGTGGTCTCTACCCTCTGCAGATACAATACCTGGGTATGACTAACGGGCCAAGTTCGAAAGGTCAAGAACTTTAAATTTTCCCTAGAAGGGGGCATAGAAGGTCAACTATAAGGTGGGGCAAAGACAGGTTTACAGCTGTGTGTGTGGAAAAATATAATAATTAATAATATAAGAATAAACTGTGTTGGAGTACTCACAACTCTAAACCCACTTTTGCCCCACCCTGTGTATTCCCTTGCAGGATTACTTTTTATGTGGCTCTCCTCTAAGCCAATTTTTTAATGTGACTATATAGTTTATCAACAACATCAGCACCATATCCCTCCTAAAATAACTTACTGGATACTTATAAGCTGGTCCATGGGTTCAATAAGAGAGTAGCTCTAAGTCTTTCAGCCAAGTTTAAAACATTTGGACACATTTTCCTGTGGGGAACCTGTTCATCAGTCATGGCAGTCAGAGTGTCGGCATAACCCACCCAGTTCTACCATCCCGCGGTCAAAACCATAATTTCTACAGCAGGGTAACAGGCACTTGGTTTCTGCCCCACCCTCCATCCCCAGTGTGAGCACCTAACTCCTGCACGCCTAACCTCTTCTCGAGGTTTTCAGTGCTGGTAGTAACTGGGAAACGTTCACAGAAAGTAATAAGCTCCCGCTCCCCCGCTCCTCCACCCCCACCTTGTTGGGGCAGCAGGATGCAGGGGGGACGAGGAGGCTTCAGGGTTAGATGCTGGTTTGAACCCGAGCTCTGCCGCACTGCTGTCAACTCTGACTTCTTACCACTGCTTACCTCTCAGATTCGTCTTATGTCTAATCCTGACAACGCTACAAAATTCTACACAACGTACCTGGTGCACAGGAAGCACTCAGTGCCCTTTACCTGTTCTTAGATCTCGTCAGTAAAAACAAAGCTGATTTCTGCTGATGTGGAGGGAATAATGGGGAAGCCATCCCCTGGCCCGAGCTGGGGGTGTGGCAGGCAGGTGATTCGACTGCCTATTTCGTCGAAGCACAGGGCAAACCCTACCTATCAACATGGTGCAGAAAGGCACCTGCAACCACACGATTCCTCAACAAAGAAAAGTGTTCCCGGAGTCCTGGGTGTTTGTGCAGGTGTTCTCTCAATAGGTCAGGTGTTAAGAATCATAATGCTATTACTCATCACAGCAGGTCATCGCTGTGGTATCTGAGTGAGGGGGATGTTGAATAAAGAAGGGAGACCGAGCTGAGAGGTACAGCAGGGCCCCATCAAGAGAGGATCACCCCAACACGCTCCTGGAAGTCAAGAGCCACGGACGGCAGATGGCAATGGGAGGGGACACTTACTTTTGACTTGGTGTCTGTCTACACTGGATTTGTTTTCATCAGGCACGCCCCACTCCGCCACCCTGATCAAATCAAACACCTCCAGGGCCAGAACAGACCTCACCTGCGTGGTGATGTCCAAGCCGAGGCCACTGGCATCGACCACGATGAGCGTGAGCAGCGTCTGCAGGGCCAGGGCGATGAAGGTGTTCACACCGAACACCAGGGCGTAGCGCTCCATGCTGAGGTTGGTGGCTATCTGGAAACTTCAAAAACAGAAGAACAAGAAGGAATAAACAACAATATCTTCCTGGGAAGTTACAGTTTCTCCTGTGAATCGGAAGGCTACCCCCCTCTTGCTACCATCAATTCCTTTCCCAACCAAGTGACAAGTATTTTGTTGCTAAATGATGTAAATCTCGCCCTGACTGGCGTAGCTCAGTGGATTGAGTGCTGGTCTGTGAACCAAAGGGTCACTGGTTTGATTCCCAGTCAGGACTCATGCCTGGGTTGCAGGCCAGGTCCCCAGTAGGGGGCGTGTGAACGGCTACCACACGGTGATGTTCCCCTCTCTCTCCCTGTCCCTTCCCCTCTCTCTAAAATAAATAAACCCTTAAGGGATGCAAACCTCCTGCGAACATCTGGAAACAGCAGGAACACAGGCACAAGGACATAAATGAAGTTTGCCTAGATGCTTGCTCAGGAGAAAACCGTATAATGCTCTCCCCGTTTGCCTCCTTTAACCAGGAATTTTAGTTTCTTTGTAAAGAAACCAGAAGGTCTACGCTACCACAGATTTCCCTAACGATGCCTTGGGTGAAATGCATACGTTGCTATGGTGATGAGCAGCATGTAGATGATTCTGAAGACAACGTAGGACACGTAGCAGACCCAGATGCTGTCCACGGAGTCCATGGTGTACACCGCGGCAGCAATCAGGAGTGAGAACAGAGACAGCGTCATCTCCCCCCACGTGGACCAGGGTATGTTGATGTGACCAACTGCAAAAACAGCCACAGCGCCTACAGAGCGGAAAGAGGAAAGTAATCTAGTTATTTTGCTAAGTAAATACTTTTTTTTTTTAATTTAAAAATCAGCTTATTGCATTTTAAAAGCTGTGGACTTACAAAGTAGGCAGCTCAAGATTACTGTGTGCCTTGGAAATCAGGCAGAGAATTTGGCTCTGATGGTATAAATGCTGTGGAGTCAGCGTGAGGGTGAGAGACTGGGGGAGGGCAGTTGGCAACGAGATGGTAACGGAGGCCACGGACCCTGGGATGCTGCTGGGGACAGGCGGCCAAGGCAGAAGCAACGAGCTACGGAACCACTGTTCCCAGGGGGCGCCAGGGCCCTTCGGTAAAAGGGCGATAGTGGTGACGACAGCTAAAGTCTGCAGGGGGCTTTCTCAGTGCCAGGCACAGTTCTACGTGTTCAACAGAAGTCACGTAAGGCCTCCCAAAAACCTTACGACACATGTCAACAAATTAGAACAGTCAGTGGCCTGGGCTCTGGGTTCAAATCTTGACCTAGTACTTACCACCTCTAGGACCTTGGGCAAGTTATTCCCAAAACTGTCTGCGATTTCGTTACCTATACAATGGGGACGGTGACTGCACCTACCTCGGGAATTCAGGGAGGACTGAGTTAGTGTACATAAAGCCGGAGTGCAGAACAGACAAGTCACCCTTCGCTGCTCCCTCAGATTTGGGAGGAACCGCTGCCCCGCCCCCCCGGCACGCGGCGCCGCTTACCCAGCAGGGTGGACACGGCCTCCACGCCGCCGTTGTAGACTGCGGAGCTGCGAGAGGGCGTCACCTGCTCCCACAGGCCCTGTGTGTAGTTGACGACCTGGAAATAGCCGCAGGTGGAGAGGGCCCACCACACCGACCAGCAGAGCAGGGGCCGCGAGGAGTAGCACACGGCGAAGTCTCTCCACAGCACCTTCAGCACCAGCAGACGCTCGGCCGGGCGCTCCTGCACAGCGAGGGGGGAGCTCAGCCACCACGAGCGCGACTGGGTGGCAAGCCACGCACAGGCTCCACGTCCTGTTTAGCAGACGTCACACCCCCTCCTCGTGAAAATGCACATGCAGGGTGAGGCAAAGTGGTTTCACAGTGGCTCGTGTGCAGAGTCGCACAATGGTGAGCACCACAAAAATAAGCTGTGTTCTGCATACTCACAACTGCACATCTACTTCTGCCCCACCCTGTATTCTGTATGTCTAGCAATTACACTTATCTTCTCAGGGGAAAAAAACACATTTCCATACAATTTTTGCTCTAAATGCTCTATGAACATCAGCACGGCTGTATGTAATCAACCCAGCAAAAGATGTACTGTTTACAAAATGAAGGTAGAAAGGTGGTCAGAAGTCGCTGACTTCAGCCCAGGGGCAATGACGTCCCACATCCCCCCCACAGTGGGGAGCAACAAGAATCAGTAACTATTAAATCGCCCTCCAGTTAGAGTCCCGCGGTGACAACCCGCTGTCCTTACTGCTGACAACTCACTGAACAGTGATGGCTAAGGCAGAACCCTCAGAACTAGACCCAAACGCTAGCAGCCATCCTCTCTGGGTAGTGGGGCCATCTGTGACTTTTATCTTTCTTCCTTACACATTGGAGTGTATCACCCAATATTTATAGGAAACATTACTAGGATATTGAGTTAATGAAGCTACTGTGCTTATAATGGAGCAAATGGAGACGCCCTGGAGCTACGCACCACCCCCGGACTGCGCCAAGCAGTCGGCACGCAATTCCGGACGCCCCGCGAGGTCCCTCCAGCTCCAGCTGCACCGCAGGTCTCCCCGTCTCTGTGCACCGTGACGACTGAGCCTTGGTCAGAGCACGGGGGTTTTACTGCTGTGGTGAGCATGGAAAGGCAGAACGACAGAAGACAAAGGGACCAGAGGGGAGCTGCCCACGACATGGCACACAGCAGCCAGGATGTGTCACAGGAGCCACGTGACAGGGCAATGACACCCACGGTGGCAGCCCGGCCCAACCCTCCCATTGGCGGCGGCCACGTGTCTTGCATCAGAACATCCAGATGTTAAAAGAGTGCTTCTTCCTGCCGCCGGCCCCTTCACACCTTTATTTATCCTTTTTTACATTGAGGTATAATTTACCTAAAATAGATCAGTTTCAGGTATACATGATTCAATACTTGTATATACTACATAATGCTCACCACAGTAATTCTAGTTAACTTCTGTAACCACACGTAGTTACAGACTTTTTAAGGTCTATTCTCTTAGCAGCCTTCAAATTTGCAATGTAGTATTTATTTTTAACTGTCGTCACCATCTTGTTCATTACACCCTCGGGACTGACTTCTTCTGTAACTGGAAGTCTACACCTTCTGACACCCTTTACACATTTCTCCCACCACCCACTCCCTGCCTCTGGCAACTACCAATCTGTTCTTTACATCTATGAGCTTGTGGTGTTGTGTTTTGTTTTTCTACTCCAAACCTAAGTGAAACCGTATGGTAGTTGTCTTCTTTTTGACGTATTTCACAGAGCATAATACCCTCAAAGGCCACCCATGTTGTTGCAAATGGCGAGGACTCACTCTTACGGCTGAGTGACATCCCACTGCGTGTGTACACACCACATTTTCTCTACTCATCCGTCCACGTGGGGACACCTGGATTGTTCGAACGTCTCAGCTGTCCTAAATGATGCTGAATTGATGAGCAGGGAAGACGTTTTTCAATCAGTGTTTTGTTTCTTCAGATCAATACCCGCAGTGGGATTGCTGGGTCACATGGTGGTCCCACGGAACCCCTGTCCCGTTTTCCACGGCAGCTGCACCAACTCGCATTCCATCGACGGTGTCAGAGGGTCTCCTTTTCTCTACAGCTTCGCCAGCCTTGTGATTTCCTGTCTGTTGGAGAACAGCCATTCTAACAGGTGTGGAGCGGAATCTCACTGTGGTTTTCACTTGCATTTCCTTGGTGATGAGGAATGTTGAGCATCTCTTCTTGTATCTGACGTCCATCTATGTCTTCTTTGGAAAAAGGCCTACTCAGATCTTTCCCAGTTCATTTCATTTTATTTTTAACTCCCCCATTTTTAACTGGATTTTGTTTGCTGCTGTGCTGTACCGGTTCTTTGCACGCTCTGAATGCTAACCTGCCGTCGGATGCACGGTCTGCAGACGCTGCCTCCCGTCCAGCAGACGCCGCCTCCCGTCCAGCAGACCGCCTTTCCACCGTGTTGACAGGCCCCTGTGCAGGGCAGCTTTTCAGTTGTGGCAGCTCCGCTTCTTTCTGCTGTTGTGGCTTTTGCTTTGGGTGTCAGGTTAAAAAAGTCACTGCCAAGACCAGTGTCGGGGATCTTGCTGACTGCATTTTCTTCTAAGAGTTTGTGGTTTTAGTTCTTATATTCAAGACTCAATCCAGTTTGAGTTAATGTGCAGTGCCATCTTTAAACAGAACCTTTAAAAGGCAGAGTGAGTGATCACAATACCAAGTCAGATGCCACCTTTTGCTTAGCTCAGTTGTGTGCCCGGGAGATTTATCCACCGTCAGACCAATGTCTACGAGGGAAATTTTTGAGAGTCTGTCTGACAAACTTATTATTTATCAAAATATGGTTCTACCAGTCAGGACTGCACTTTATTCTGATTTTCACGGCTGGTCCCTTATTGTCACTCAGGTCTCAACTTGGACACCAGCTTTTCAGAAAGCCATTCAACACCCTTAAGCAGTCACTGCTTCTCCCACCACAGTCACTTGCGAGCCCATTCATTGCGCTGCTTATTTTGGCTCCACTTCATCTCCCCTTTCTATAAAATCACGATCAAACCACCTGCCTGCCCACATACTCTTCTCTACCGTAATTACTACAGTTACAATTTATGGCTCAGTTACGGGCTCTGTCAACGTCACATACCACTGCCACCTCCAGGACCCACATCCTTCGCCACCTCCCAGCATGTCGAAGGGACACCTTGGCGTTTCGGGCGGTACAGCGGCCGAGCAGCACTGCTTGCCTGTTACGGTGCCAGGAGCAGAGCCAAGGACACATGGCCCCGACCCGCACCCTGGTTTTCAACGCACTGTGGCCAACGGGACGGTTCCAACCGTGCTGGCCCCCAACCCAGTGAAAGACTTCACGGAGCAAAACAGAGATTGAAGTGGATCCCTTAAATATACTCTTAAATTACATTTAGGGGGATCTCTGTGTAATTCTGCACAAGTCACTGTCTCTGATCCCAATCTTATCTCTGAAATGAGACCGTCAGGAGATCTAAAGTCCCGTGTAACTTTAATCATATGCTATGACTGTTCTACAACCTGTGGTTAGAATCATTTCTAACTCTAAAATTTTATCATTATTCAGCATGTCAAGTACTGGCATTTTGCACATCTATGAGCAACAAATACAAAATTTCTCCATGATGATAGATTTCAAATCATTAGCTGACTTTAGGTTTCACCTCAGTGGGCAACAAAAATCGATTTAGTGGGTGATGACTGCATTATAAAAAATTGAATGGGATGTGTCAAGATAAAATACTTTGTTGTAAAAACCTCTGTTTCAGTTATAATATACACACACATCTGAGTGCTGGCTGCTGCACAAAATGTTTCTCACTGAGTAGTTTTCTATTCATGTTCACAAAGTTTAAAACTCACTGGTCTGTAAAACCTTTAGAACTCTGGCCTGTATGTCAATATTTAAAAATAATACACATTTTTATAGGTATTTATATACCTACCAATCTCAGCTAAAGCCATTTTAACACATTTCAAACAGGTTTTTAGAAACAGTTCTTATTCCGATTTTCTACATGAGACATATCGAATGAGTATTCGTGCTTCCTTCCCTTATCAACCCTCTGTCAACTCCCCAACGTCACCAAATGACCTGCGAGGGCACCAGCGTTTCATTCCGATTTTGTCCCTGGTACCCCTGCCCACGTGTGCCCTAGTTATCAGAGAGTGTGTCACGGTGAGTGTCACCCAGGCTCCACAGTGTGACCCCAGCTCTGGGATCGTGACCTAAATGTCCACCAGTCACCAGAAGAGAAGAACAAGGGTGGGCAAAACAGACCAGGCTTCAGTAAGGACGTCAGATGCCACGGGGAATCGGTGTGGGTTAACCCGGGTGGAGGGGAGCCAGACTCTGTTCCTCCGGATCAGCCCACGAAGCTTATGGAGCCTGGTTTCACGTCTGACAGAGCCCGTCTGCCAAGCTGGAATGGAACAGTCTTATGTCCAAGCCTGTCCCAGGATGTGTAAGACTAACTCAGTGTGTCTGGAATGAATCTTGCCCCCCACAGCTTATGGCCTGATAGGATAACAAGCTTTTATTTTTTTTGAAAAGGCGGGGAGGCAGTGAATCTTCCCGGCTGCACAGAATGGATGGATGGATTCTTCTGATGCCAACCCTCTCTTCAAGTTGTCACAGTCACACTTCTAATACTTATTTCACCTTCTTCAATATTCCTTCTGAGTCTCTTCTTCTGGATTACCCATTACTATCCCACTTCAGTGAAGTATCTGAATTAAAATCAAGATGTTTCCAGCACAGCAGAGGAAGGTAACACCGCCTATCCTTAAGTACTCTGGGCTTCAGTTCAGAAACCGGAAGTAGATACTCATCATTTGTTGGAATCACTGCATCTATTCATTTAGCAAAAATGTCCTGAGTGCTTTATTTATCTGCCAAGTTCTGGGGATCGAAAGCTGAAGGAGAGGCAGCCCTTGCTATGGCTTCTGAGCCACCTCTGACGCAGACACAGTGGAGTGCTGCGCCAGTGAGACCTGGAAGGTCATTCACTCTGGGAAACACCTTTGCCATCCCTAACTTAAATCAGCCCTGTTTGGAATCAATGAATAAACGAACGAACTAACCCACCAACGCGGTTAAAACCTGAATGCACATGAATGGCACGTCCTGCAAGAGGGGGGTCCTCCTGTCTGTTCGGTTCTCTCACTGTGAGTCTGGCTCCCCGAGGAGAAAGAAACCCTCAGACTTAATTTAAGGCTGAACTTACCGGCTCCTCCGTGGGAGGCTGTCCGGCGTGTAGGGGGGTTTTTGACTCGACATCCTCCCAGCCCGGAAGGTGGTGAGAAGCCGAGGTGGCATTAACAATACCGCCGTTTTGTGCGACGCCACCATGCTGTACCTTGACACCATTCATTCCCTGGCAGGTGGGATGAACGTGGTGAAAGAAAAGGCTCTTCTGTGGCATAGGCAGAAACCAGGCCACGGCAAAAGCCACGGAAACACAGGTAAGAGAGATGACATTCAGGCTGAACAGGGACCAGCCCGCCACGGAGACGAGGATCTGCCCCAGGACAGAGCCCACTGTGAAGCCCACCAAGGTGGCAGTTCGACTGTAACTTGTGACTTTCTGGTACCTGCTCAGGTCTACCACACTGTAGATATAGGAGTAATAGGCGATTTCAGTGGCTGTGGCAATGCCATAGAAGAACTCCAAGAACTGAACGGCCAGCAGTCCCTGGGCATAGAGCAGCATGAACCACGTGACGATAAGGCTGAGTCCCTGCAGCAGAATGACGGGCTTGTAACGGAGGTAGTCTGTGGCAAGGAACACCGGGAATAGCAGCACCAGGTAGGAGTAGGTCCATACTGGGTAAATCTCATTGAAGACCTGACAGGAAAAGGAGGGGAAAACCCATTAGCGATATCAAAGGACCTGGAACACTCATAACAATTTATTCTTATAAAACAACCTGCCGACACCTCAAAACCGTCACCTTATCAACCAAAGAAATGAGGACAACAGTTCTGACGAAAGGTTGGAATACACTCCCGCATTTCCACTCCATCCTCTTTTCCCTAAGATCCTCCCCGTTCATCAAGGCCGAGTTCACAGGCTCCCTCATCCTGGAAGACTGCCAGAGCTTACAGTCTTTGTACCACAACATTCAGAGCTCTCTTTTCTTTTTTAGCGTATTCTTTATTTTTCAATCGTTTCTTTTTCACTGACTTTCCCTCACTACCTTGTATCCCCCCTGTAATCACCACTCTGTGCTCTGTGTCGGTGAGTGAAGTTTTTTTGACTGCACCCCTCCACCGCCACCACCTCCCCCTGCAGAGCCGCCCGCCCGCTCTGTGGACATTGCTCTGTGTACGTCGCCTCCCCAGCGGCCGCACAGCACTGATGATCAGCCATGGCCGCACACTTCCCGAGGAACTCTAAGAATTCCGAATGCCTAGCCATGGGCATTTTTTAACAACCTCCCAAGAGGTTTTAACATGACCCAGAGCTGAGAACCAGTGCCTTGTAAGTTCTTTACCGGTGACTCATCTGTACAACCTAATGGACAACATGTTGTGTAGGAGAGGCTCGGCTCAATAAATGTCTTGGAAACAAATGTTCTGGAATCCTCATCAATTCTTTCTTCTACCCACAGGGTAGGGAGCCTTGGTCCCACTGCTTGTTTGATTGGGGCTGCTTTGCTTTCTCTGATTTTAAGTTGTGTTTCTTTGGGAACCCAGGGAAGAAATGGTAAATCTGTTTACAATCCTGATAGAATAATCTCTGGATGGTAGGATTATGGGCAAATTCTGTGTCCTCCTTTTTGCTTGGAAAAAATAGCAATGTTGGCTGTTTTCTTTTTAATGTATTTTTAGAATTGAGACATAGTAAAAATAACCTTTACACTTTAAACCATTAAAACCTCAGCTAGAATGTCATTTGCGGTGTGACCCCTAAGTCTCCCTGAGCTCTTCTTAGACTTCATCTTCATCCTCAGTAAAAGAGGGATCAGACCTAAACCAGAGAGAATACGTGTAACTCACTCCGCTTTATTCATCGGTCTGAAGCGAACACACCTGGAACAATATGAATTAGCTACATTTATTGAACTGTCACCCCCATTTTTGCAGTGACAGTCCTTGTAGGGGACTTTTCCTTCCTCTTGTACGTGCCCAGTGTCTAGCAAGGTCTACCCAGTCAGTTTTTGAAGATCATTTTGAATTCTGCACCAGTGGCCCCAATGTTCACGTGCTTTCTGAAAGGTCATCTTGGTACCAAGCTAACACTCTGCGTGGACACTGTGATCCTACTCTTTGTCCGAGGGCGACTTTCTTTTTAGCTCTTATGTACACCTCAGTTCACCCGGGTATACAATGGGCTGTTTTAAGGTTTTAGAGGAACAACTAAGTAAGCAATTATTGGAAAATCTTCTGCCAGTCCATACCACAACTAAAAAAGTAAAATACAATCTGAAATATGTTCCGGACTTGATTTGTTTCTGACTGGCCACAGAGCAAAAGTGACTTGCCTAATGGCCTCGCCTTCATGAAGTTTGATCTAATTTGTGCTTGTAAGTCACTTAGCAACCTTCACTGGATCAGAAAATGTTCTTGTACCTGAACATGTACACGGAAGCATAATCAAGAACTGTGAAAATGATTCTTGTTCAGAAGTGTGAAGACACATGAGAAGTATGAGTAACGCTGTGATGGGTGAACCACGGTGTAAGGCGGCCTCACGGGAGGAGACCGAGGGGCCCAGGGCGCACCGAGATGAAGGCTGGGCGCGGTGAAGGCTTCCCTCCAGACTTTTCGTAGCTGCGTTCCATCGACAGCTCCCCCCTCCTCCTTGTACCTGTTGTGTACAGATACTCCCCTCCAGCTTTCTTAGGTCTGGCAGTGCCTCCTTGGTCTGACTCGGCACGCCCACTCCCCCGGCATGTCTTCCCAGCGCAGCACCAGAAAGCCCTATGAGCCGTCTTGCCTTTCTTCTGAAACACCCTCCGCAATGTCCCTCAGCATCCCCTCTTCCCATTTCCCACCACGTGCCTTTGGTCTCTGACTTCCTCACGCTAGCAGAACGGTGTGCTGAGACACATCATAGCCTCTCAACGAGAGTTGGCCCACAATGGTTAACTGCCAAGTTTCCATTACATAAATCTCATCCCTTTCATCACCGATTTAAAGTGTTGATAGTTGTCTGTTTCTACTCCTAATACAAATCCACAACACAGATAATGAAGACAGGAAAAGTCACATGGCCAGACCTGCAATGCCAAGTGCAAACAAAAAGCAAAGGCCGGTGGGCAGAGGTGGGGAGGCTGGGGAAGAAACCAGATGGCTTCTCTCTAACTTAGTCTAAGCGACTTACTCTACGCAAGAGATCAACCACAGGTGAGTGTCCCCCCAACAGGACAACCGGCACCGCAGCGGTGAATCTCTCCCTGTGCCGAGGGACTGTACATATACTGTGCAACCCACCCTGCCGACAGGACTGCCCCCTGAACCCCAAAGAGGGAAATGCCATCACCCCCATTTCACAACTGAGAAACTCGGCCTCAGAGAAGGTTAAGTAAACTGTCCCAAGTTATCACAGCTGCGGACTGACTGGCAGGGGAAGAAGTGAACCCAGGTATTCTGAATCCAACGCACTTGGATGCCCCACTTCTCCCACTGATAAACTCTTATGGATCATGTACCGTGTTCCAGGGTTACTTTGAATGCTGGCGGCAGCTTTTTTGACCTGCCCTGGGGGGCTTCTACAGGACATCACAGAGAGATAAAGACCAAATCTCCGGAGGTTAGCCACTGGGTCTCCAAAAGAGGAGAGTTCTCTCTCAGTGCCTCCAAGGAGAAGCTGTCACACCGAAAATGCTTGTTAATGGACACTTTTAATCTTGAAGGCAAACTTCCTACACACAAAAATTATAGACGCTGCTGTCCAGACCCTGGGCAACACCTTATCTCGGGCAAAATCTGCCACGTGAGCAAAAGGAACTGACTTTACCCTAAGGAACTTTTCATAACTCCTTGGGTCGGAGCTGGTTTGTGCTTTCCTCTGAGACAAAAAACAGTCAAGGGGAGACACGTGTGGCTTTAATTTCTAATTCAGATTCAGGCTTTGTTTTTGGATCAAGCAGCAATTAGACAAGTAGTTAATAAGCAAGGATCTGCGTGACACAGCTTTCGAGCTGTATGGAGGGCAGAGGAGGAGGAGTAAGAGGAGGAGGAGTAGGAGAAGACAACCAGGACGACAAAGAGGAAGAAGAAAATGAAGGCTGTTCTCCAGGAGTTCGCAACCCAGGGAGGAACACACACACACACACACACACACACACACACACACACACACCACTGACCAGGGAGGGAGGGAACACACAGCTGCTTCTCTGAGATGGGCCTTGAAGGGTGAGGACATGGGGGCAACAGAGAGCCACGAGCAGATCCGTGTGGGGGGATCACTCCAGGCTGAGGTCTCATCTTCGAGACCCCGCCAGTGAACTGGACGAGCCCGTGAACATGCTGGACTGTAAGATGAAGGTGGGGGGAGCCTGGGCATGTGGAAGGAGGATGCAGGTCGAGGGAGGTAAGGCTGTGGCAGAAGTAAGAGCCAAATTCTGTAAAGCTCTGAGCAGAGCTTTACAGCAAGGTGGATTTTTTTTTAAGAAAACCAAAGAGAAGTACTGAATGCCTGTCAAATCACTCGCTAAAAAAGACAAAAAGATAAATGACCTTGGGGATAAAGAGCTCTATTTTATTAAACATTTGGCTTCCCACTCTTGGGATACAAACTTTAACCTGTTTAAAACTTTAAAAGTGGCAGCTAAAAGAGGTTAATATTTTTTCTGGAATCTAAGAAAAAAAATCCTTTGTGAGTCCATCCATCCTTTTCCTCCTTTCGTCTTTGGGTATGGTGAACAATAGCTCTATTTAAGGCAATCCAACTCGACACTTGTGAAGTCTTCTAGAGGGGGAAGTAGAAGCTTCAACACGAATATCGCTGACCATGACTGAACATTCACTTTGCCTAAAAATCTTGTCTTATTTTTTATTTCACTGTCCACTGGCGAAAGCATGCACTCGGCCAGGAAGGAGAGCAAATCGTTCTGTTTACTTTAATGATTAGGGTATTTTTAAAAGCCTAGGGTTCCAGAGAGGGCGAGCAGAGCCACACTGCACACAACCAACAGACTCAGCCCTGATTCCAGGGCCCTCAGAGACCCAGGACACCCCTTTCCCAGACGCTCCCTGATCCTCAAACCCTGCCCTGTTCCTCATCTAATTTGCATAACAGGAGTGTGCTATGTTTTTCACAAATCAGCAATCTTTCCTGGGCCTGGCACCTGTGCTTTATTTCTATGCCCCCTGCACATACCTCACTCACTCTAGAAAGCTTTCTGGTAAGACAGGGCGCGTGATGGAACATCCCACAACAGCTCTGCCCAGGGCACGGGACAAAACGGATCGGCTTTCAAAGAGCAGCACTGGGAGAACGGTCTCCCCCAGCGCTGCTCAGTCAGGCAAGGTGCACACACTGATCACATGGCCGTTCGCATGAAACTTTCATTGTCGGCAGCTCCCCGGCGGTGTCAGTTCAGCCTCAGGGGCAACACCTCTGATCCGAGGCTGTGTTGGGCATCCAGGATCATTCTCATATTTACTACGGTCACTTTCCCAAGAGTCAGCCCTTTCCCTTTAATTACCAATATTAAAATTCAGATGTGTAGTAACTGTTACAGTCTCTGGTGGAGTGGGGCATAGGAATGAGAAACATAAGATCTGAAGCTCAGTAAAAGTCCCTGATACACTTGCTGGAGGCGGGACAAGGAGAAACTCAAATGAAACCCTCCATTCAGGATTTAACACCCAACTTTCAACTGCCTGTTAAACGACCTTGAAAACAGAGGAGCGAAGCAACAACCAAATTAGCCGTAATTACATCCTGTTCTGACCTGTTATTCAGGGACACCGAGTCACTACTCAAAATCGGTGACGAATCACAGGGAGAAGAGTAAGGTGTAGACAGGAGTATTTCACAGCAACTGGGAGGAACAGAGGGCGCAAGAAAACGGGGCCAGCTAACAAGTGCCCACTCAGCCTTCGCCCTTTGCAGTGTTCCAGAACAGAACACCGGACCTGAGCCTTCAGGCTTTGCCGTGTTCTAGGAAGAGAACGTTGACCTTGCTGTATTTTGTGGTGGGGCACCTTGAGTTTAGTTCCTTTTTCAGTTCACATGTCTTTCCTCTTTAAAAGCAAAGTGTTGCAACTGATCATAAGCTTTAAGAGTTAAACATATTTAAAAAATACACAATGCATTTCTGAAGTCCTCATAAACCCTCATCTAAGGAAAATCAACCAGCAAGGAGTTCTTAAGCACAGACTATGGGCTCTCAATTGCTCTGAACATCACAGAGGGACAGAAGCCTTGCAAGATCTCACCACGTGATTGGGCAAAACTAACATCTGTGAAGCAATAATTCACAGGCAAGAAACTGTAATTAAACGCCAACTCTGTGATACCATCTAAGTATCAGCTTTTATCCCAGGAGGTGGGGTTGGGGGGCCGCATATCCTTGGACACAGCCTCATTCAACTAAGAATCAACCCAAATCCAGATGATGGGTTCTTGTCCTGTACGGTCCTTATTTGAGCACATCCATCTCGTCAAAGGTAAAGTGTGAGAAGGAAGAGGGTGCAGTGGCGGGGGGGGGGCTTTCATAAAAGCAGGTGTTACACAGCATCTGGTCCCCTACTTTCAATCAATAGATATTTACCAAATCTTTACCATGTCCAAAGTGCAGCTTGCTGTTTTCAGTTTTGTCTTTTTTTTTTTTTAATCCCAATACACCCCTAGCAGGAACTGCGGGACAGGCCTGAGCAGAGTGGAGCTAAGCTCCAAGACGGCATCGCCACCCCGACACCCGGGAGCCCCGGGGCTCCGGGCCCGCGTTCGGGTCCTTGGCAGAAAGCGCGCCCAGTAAATCCAAAGGACAGAAACACGGCCTGAATTCATTTAGCACATGGCGAGGGGACGCCTCCCAACGGGGAAAAGTCACAAATCAGCCCAGGAAGGCGCCGGCACGGCCACCCACCCCCACCCCCGCCCGCCCCGCACGCTGGCCCCAGGCTCCCGCGAGACCCGTACCTCCCTCTCCGTCAGGTTCTTGTCGGGCCCCAGCAGGTAGGGGGTCAGGAAGGGCTCGGACGGCCTGAGGTTGGCGAAGAAGCCATAGGAGCAGAGCAGCGAAGTGGGCAAGAACCAGCCTTCGCGGGGGACCCGAGCCGTGCGCAGGAGCATGGTGGCCGCAGCCGCCGCCGCCCGCCGGGACACCGGGCCGGGAACATCCATCCGGGGCGCGAGAGGCGGGGACCCGGCCCGGTTTCTTCCTCCTTCTCCGCCAAATGGAGTGAGGTTCAAATGTTGCCCCAGCGCCCGCACCTGTCGCCACGCGTGGCGCCTCCTCTCGGCAGAGCGCGACTGTTCCAGTAGGGTCGCTGGCCTTCCCAGCGCCGAGCACTTCACGTGTAGAACCGCAAGGAGCTGCCAAGAAAAAAAAAAAAAAAGAAAAGAAAGGCGTGCCCAAATGCTGACGCTCCGCAACGCCCCCAGGCTGAGAGCCAATCACAGAAGACGTCTGGATACCTCTTCTCTTCCATTGGTCGGTGGTGGCGCCCCAGGCCAGGGTGTAGGGCGGCGGCAAGGGCTAAGGGTGTGGGGGCAGGGGTGCGACAGCGCTGGGCTTAGTCAAGGTCCTTGCTACCGCTTGTCAGGGAGGGATGCTGCGTGTGGGTCGAATCCCAGCCGAAAGAGGGCGTCCCCGTCTCTCATTCTCTGTCACCGTCCCTCGGGGCGTCCATTCAGATTCTCTTTTCTCGGAGACTTAGTGGGCAAGGCCTGACATGACCTCTGGGGCAGGGGATTGCTTTACCCTACGACAGTTTTCGTGGTGTAAGTTGTGTTCAGCTGTCACTGAAAGACTCTGCAAGCCCCGGAAGCCTAACCGGAAGAAAGGAAAGCACATAAAATATTATGAGAAGAATGAGCCAGCTAGTCCCTGAACACAAGGACCTCAATGGAGGACTAATTAAAGAGATTTAGCTCTATGTTGTCACTTTCGCAAGCAGGATACGAAGAGAATGCTATAGCCTGTTTTTAAAAAGTAAACTTTGAATCAGTAAAGCAACTGTGAAATACCACCTATCTGTTCGGTAAAAAAAAAAAAAAAAAAAAAAAAGGAGTTCGCATAGTTTTCAAGGGCAAAGCATGACAAGAAGCCCCAGTTCTTTCATTTGTCTGTAAGCCTCTTTCTGCCTGACGCACAACCTGACTCCTTCCCAATCCGTCCCCTGCAGACCAAGCTGCATCACTGAAAGCAATTTTCTCAGCGCAGTGTTTGCAGAGTAACAAGCCCACACGAAATGCTTTCGAACTCTGTTTGGCTTCAATATATGCTACGACCCATCTAGCTCAATTTTTCTCCTTCCTAAGCAAATGGCACTTTTTGCAGAAAGGAAACTTTTTGAAACCAACCACAAAAAAGAAGTCTCCCACAAGGAGCAATGCGGTAAAAGGAAAAATGATTTGTTTCTAAGGCTTTACAAGTGAATGCACCAAAATATATGAATTGATTACTCTCTAGAGAAATGCAGTGGTTGGCCCAGCAATGAGTCTCAAACTGCGGACTAGGAAGCCAGAGGGGTTCTTTGGGGCGTTTTCAGAGTTCCTCCAGGTCAAGCTCCTTTCACAATAATTCTAAGGCTTTCCTTGGCCACTCCAGAGACCACGTGATGTGTGATGACATCATCACTGAAGGCTCAGAGAATGTGTGCTTATATATTTTTGCGTTTAAAAACATTCCAAACTTAATTTCTAACATGGCATTTACTGATAGATACAACCCACAAAAACAAAGTCCTCAAAACTAAGAGTCCTAAGACTAAACAGTGAGAACTTCTGACATCCATAATACAGTTATATAGTCTGTTCATCATGACTACAGAGAGAACAACGCCGGTCCTCTTGGTGACTGCTTTGCATGAACATTCAGCGATTTAGTAAAACACAAGAAAGAAAAAGAAAACCAGGACAGGTCTCAGAAAGAGAAGGCCACCTAGTGTCCCTCGCCTGAGGCCTGCAGACCTAAGTTGTGTTCATCACTGGTTGTTGACCTTTTCTTTGGTAAAAATCACTTGGGCAAATCAAGTCTCCTTCTCAATGTTGGGCATGGACAAACAGTTGATCTCGAATTGGGGAGAAACTGTTTTTTTACTATTTTCCTCTAAGAGGACAAGGTAGGCAGAATTCTGAGAATGACCCTTGTACAGTCCCCCTTCGTGTAGGGGATGAACCCAATCTGATGAGATAGTACAACTATGATTGTTACATTACATGGCAAAAGTGAGAATATCCACGTGGGCTATTGAGTCGCACCAGCCCTTCCAAAGCGGTGAACTTTCTTCTGCTGGTAGCAGAAGCGGAAATCAGAGAGCTGTCTGAAGACAGACTTGGGGCGCTGGTGCTGGGGGGCTATGTGGCAAGAATGTGGGCACCCTGCAGCAGTGGAGATTGATTCTTGGCTGATGGGCAGCAAGGAATCGGGGAATTCCGGTCCTATAGTTACAAGGAATTGAATTCTGCCAACAACCAAAAGGAGTTTGCAAGTAGATTCTTCCTCAGAGCTTCCAGATGAGCCCAACACCCTGACTTCTGCCTGTGAAGTTCTAAGTAGAGAAGCCCCCCAAGCCCCTTGGACTTCTGATCTACAGAACTATGAGTAAAATTGTGGTTATATATTTTTTATGACACTAATTCTGGTAACTTATGCAGCAATAGAAAGCTAACAGAGGTAAGTAGAATGTATCTTACACACTGAGGTAATATTTATATACTATGAGATTACCCATTAGATGTATTTAAGTGCCCAACTCAGTGGCATTAGTTCATTCCCAATGTCGTGCAGCCTCTCGTTCTAAGACATGTTACCACCCCAGAAGGACACTTGTACCCATTAAGCAATCACTCCCCATTCTCGCCCTCCCCTGGCCCCTGGCAAACACTAATGTGCTTTCTGTCTCTATGGCTGTATCTGTTTTGGGTAATTCATTCAAATGGAATCATTCTGTCACAGGAAAAATTCCCAGAAACTGGATTCTTTGCTGATGCCAGCAGAGAATTACAGGTCAGCAAGCCTACTAGCAGGCAAACGAAGTTTATTAGTGCTAAGGTGTCATGGGAAAGCAAAAGAAAGGGAGGCAAAAACAGGGTGGCCAGAGGCCAGGTGGTCAGCACCTGGGCAGCTAGAACCTGGACAGGGGTCCCCCATGTGGCAAAAAGAGCCAAGAGAGCGAGTCCTTTATTCCGTGGACTTACATAGTTGGCAGGATGGGGGTGAGGGTGTACATGTAAACCCTCATGTACAGCGGGTACATGTGGTGCTCTCCCCCCCGCCCAGTGGATACGTGGCTACCCAAACATAGGTACATGTGGGGGTCTGTTAGCTTAAGTCCTTATCTTGCTTCAGACTCTGTTTCTTTTGCATATGTGACAAGGGGGCAGGCAGTTACCCAAAGTTGTTTTAGAGCTTCCTTTGGGCACTGTGGTCCCCCTCCCGTTCTAGGCCTTGGGATGAATACAGTCTCACAGTTTCCCTTTTCCCCACAACAGAGAGGATGGGCAAAGGCTTGCCAGGCCCCCCCTGCTGCGCCACCGTAGTTTGTTGGGGTGTTCAGGATACCCAGCCTCATCAGACCAGGCTCAGAATCACTGAGTCCACAGTCCGGCCTTGGCTTCTAGCCTGCGGTATTAAGTTCTTGGTTAAGCAGCAAAGGTGAGGGCCCCACCTTTATCTCCCCTCTGGCCTCTCATTCTACCATAACAATACAATATGGGACCTTTCGTGGCTTTTTTGATTTAGCAGAACACTTTCAAGGTTGATTGACATGGTAGTATGTATCAGTACTTCCCTGCTTTTTATGATGGGAAACTATTCCATTCTGTCTATATAATGCATTTTGTTTATTCTCTCATCCACTGATGCACGTTTGGGTTCTTTCTACTCTTTGACTCTTGGGAAGAGGGCCCCTGTGAACATTTGTTTGCATGTATTTCTCGGGACACCTGTTTTCAATTCTTTGTGGTGTGTAAGAGTAGAATTACCAGATGACTTCATAATCCTGTGTTTAGATATTTGAGGAGTCGTCAACAATTTGAGACCCTTCAACATTCTCACCAGCAGTGCACGAGGGTTCCAATTTCCCCACATCCTTGCCAATGCTTGTTATTTTCTTTTTTTTTAAAAAAAATTCTATTCTAAGAAGTGTAAAGTGGTGTCTCATTGTGGTTCTGATTCGTATTTACCTAATGATAAATGATGCTGAGCATCTTTTTATGCATTTGTTTTCCATTTTCATATTTTCTTGGGAGAAATGTCTATTTAAGTTCTTGGCCAACCATTGAATTGAATTATATGGTGATTCTATTTTCAATTTTTAAAAAGTGCTTTTTGATTTTAGAGACAGAGGAAGAGGGTTAGAGAGAGAGAGAGAGAGAGAGAAACACCAAGTGTTGGCCTCCCATACGCACCTGGGAATCAGACCTGCAACCCTTTGGCACACGGGACGACGCTCCAACCAACCGAGTCACACTGGCCAGCACTCAACTTTCCACTTTTTCAGGAACCTCCACACTGTTCTCCACGGTGGTGGCACTAATTTATACCCCCACCAACAGTGCAGTGCTCCCCTTTCTCCACACCCTGGCCAGTCAATGTTTGTTACCAGTTGACTTATTAATGATGGCCATTCTGACAGGTGTGGGGTGGTATCTCCTTGTTTTGATTTGCATTTTGCTGATGATTGGCGATGTTGAGCATCTTTTCATATGTCTGTTGACCATCGTTTTGCCCTCTTCGGAGAAATGCCTATCTAGGTCCTGTGCTCAGTTTATAACCAGATTGTTTGCTTTTTTTGGTTGTTATTTCTTTACTTTTCAATATAATATACCACAAAGATGTTCTCCCAGAAAGCAGAATATTGAATAGAACATTTGTTCTTCATTCCTACAAGAATGACAGATAGAAACAGCTTTTTCTTAGATTATAGATGAGAACGCTGAGGGACAGGGAACCTCAGTCCTTCAAAGTCACACTTACTCCCTCGCCATGAGTTTATGGAGAGCCTATTGTCCCAGGTCTGGTTCTTGGTGCCACGGGAAGACAAAGAGACAGTCCCCAACCTCTGGGTACTCATATGATGAGTCATTTGTGAGTCAGTCATCCAAGTCCCACTTCAGGCTGTGCCCCTGAAATGCCCCAACATTGATGACCTTTGTCACAAACAGAGGCAAGCTGTATCCTGACAATAACCCAGTGACTGCGCCGGGCCAGTCGGTAAAAGGCCAGGTCAGATCACACGTGGCCCTCCTCCCCGTTTTTTGAATGCTTGACCCAGAATTTCTGTATGTAGTCATCAAGACTCCGCCCCACATGAGCTGGCTCATGGTGCAGCCCGTCAGAAAGGGTTGCCTGCTCATCAGCCTACTCAGCCTGTGTGGGCTGGGAATGTGGGACCACACAGGCCAGGCATTGCCACACCATCAAGGACCTTTGGAAAAGCGCGGAGGTTGCTCAGTACACGTTGTGTGGAAGCCATCCTCCCACCCACCTCTCCCTGTCTTCTGCCTTCCCTC